CGGGGTCGGCCTGAGCACCAGAACTCTGTGTAGTCAGTAACTCCAGTGTCTCTAATGATGCATACTACCCTCAGTGTAAGGCAGCCAGAGGAGAGGGTGCACTAGCCTGTGCTTGTCTGGAGCTGAGAATGCCCATTAACACTCTTTCCCCCTCAGGTGGTGACCACCTGAGCTATCAAAGACAACCGTGTCTGCAACAACACCCCCCCCACACACACACACACATACACACATCCCCTCCTCACAGACCATAGATAGTGATATTAATGTAAAGTACAGTATAAACTAATAAACACACTCAATCTTCACTTGTACCTACAGCTTGACACAGTGCTTATGTACAGTCTGAGAAAACAAACTATCTGCATTTACTTGATCCAATTCACCCAAGAGAGATCTCTCTACACTTGGGAGGTAGGCCTAAGCTTCTGAAAGAATCACATTCGATTTTGGTCATCATATTTCTGCTCATCGTAATGTTAGGACAAGGATGCTGAGGTGGCGTCTGAATAGTGTAAGGAATGTGTTTAGTTTAAAAAATATATATTTAACCCTTATTTGACCAGGTGAGTTGACTGAGAACACATTCTCATTTACAGCAACCACCTGGGGAATAGTTACAGGGGAGAGGAGGGGGGGTGAGCCAATTGGGATTACAGTATATAAGGCTAAAGATTCCGTCAGGTTCGTTCCAAACGAATGGAATTTCAAACTGTCTCATTAACATTAATTTGATGCTGCCTTGTTTGATTATAAACACTGTCAAGGCCTCCCCTGAAACACAAATGCCAAAACACTACTGGCCTTCTGACCTGGTATCATTTTCATTGGCTTAATGTCTCCACATGATCTATCCTAGAACTTTCTCTTGTTCCTCTCCCTTCGTCTCATAACTTCCTGTGACGGTCCTTTGAAACCATTATATCCGCATGTCTCCTAACTTCCCCTCTCTGGGATGTGTGATTCACTGAGTCCCTGAAACACAACACAAGCCAATCTAGAGCAGCAGATAAAGCTAATTGTGGAAATGGACCATCGATCAAGGCCAGTGCACTCATAAGTCCGTGTCGGATGGCACCTCAATGGCAGGAAGTGCTTGCCATTGACTCTAATAAATGTGAAGGGAAGAGCCGCCCAACACACCCATGTAGTGTACTGTAGGGTTGGTCACTATAGCTAAAACTGCTTGGCCACTTCTTATCTTGTGTTGAACAATTTTATACGAGAAAGAATGTCAGTATGATAGCATAGTCATCATGTACAGTGGGGGGAAAAAGTATTTAGTCAGCCACCAATTGTGCAAGTTCTCCCACTTAAGAAGATGAGAGAGGCCTGTAATTTTCATCATAGGTACACGTCAACTATGACAGACAAAATGAGAAAAAAAAATCCAGAAAATCACATTGTAGGATTTTTAATGAATTTATTTGCAAATTATGGTGGAAAATAAGTATTTGGTCAATAACAAAAGTTTCTCAATACTTTGTTATATACCCTTTGTTGGCAATGACACAGTTCAAACGTTTTCTGTAAGTCTTCACAAGGTTTTCACACACTGTTGCTGGTATTTTGGCCCATTCCTCCATGCAGATCTCCTCTAGAGCAATGATGTTTTGGGGCTGTCGCTGGGCAACACGGACTTTCAACTCCCTCCAAAGATTTTCTATGGGTTGAGATCTGGAGAATGGCTAGGCCACTCCAGGACCTTGAAATGCTTCTTACGAAGCCACTCCTTCGTTGCCCGGGCGGTGTGTTTGGGATCATTGTCATGCTGAAAGACCCAGCCACGTTTCATCTTCAATGCCCTTGCTGATGCAAGGAGGTTTTCACTCAAAATCTCACGATACATGGCCCCATTCATTCTTTCTTTTACACGGATCAGTCGTCCTGGTCCCTTTGCAGAAAAACAGCCCCAAAGCATGATGTTTCCACCCCCATGCTTCACAGTAGGTATGGTGTTCTTTGGATGCAACTCAGCATTCTTTGTCCTCCAAACACGACAAGTTGAGTTTTTACCAAAAAGTTCTATTTTGGTTTCATCTGACCATATGACATTCTCCCAATCCTCTTCTGGATCATCCAAATGCACTCTAGCAAACTTCAGACGGGCCTGGACATGTACTGGCTTAAGCAGGGGGACACGTCTGGCACTGCAGGATTTGAGTCCCTGGCGGCGTAGTGTGTTACTGATGGTAGTCTTTGTTACTTTGGTCCCAGCTCTCTGCAGGTCATTCACTAGGTCCCCCCGTGTGGTTCTGGGATTTTTGCTCACCGTTCTTGTGATCATTTTGACCCCACGGGGTGAGATCTTGCGTGGAGCCCCAGATCGAGGGAGATTATCAGTGGTCTTGTATGTCTTCCATTTCCTAATAATTGCTCCCACAGTTGATTTCTTCAAACCAAGCTGCTTACCTATTGCAGATTCAGTCTTCCCAGCCTGGTGCAGGTCTACAATTTTGTTTCTGGTGTCCTTTGACAGCTCTTTGGTCTTGGCCATAGTGGAGTTTGGAGTGTGACTGTTTGAGGTTGTGGACAGGTGTCTTTTATACTGATAACAAGTTCAAACAGGTGCCATTAATACAGGTAACGAGTGGAGGACAGAGGAGCCTCTTAAAGAAGAAGTTACAGGTCTGTGACAGCCAGAAATCTTGCTTGTTTGTAGGTGACCAAATACTTATTTTCCACCATAATTTGCAAATAAATTCATTAAACATCCTACAATGTGATTTTCTGGAAATTCTTTTCTCATTTTGTCTGTCATAGTTGACGTGTACCTATGATGAAAATTACAGGCCTCTCTCATCTTTTTAAGTGGGAGAACTTGCACAATTGGTGGCTGACTAAATACTTATTTTCCCCACTGTATGTACATTACTATTTGTCTATGTTGACATTTGTTAGTGTTTTGTTCTGTGTACTAGGCTACAAAACGACACAGGTACACACAGTGCTAGTTATCTTACCTCACTATAGCTCAGTATCTCCCCTGTGTGGAATACACAGTTTAGCTATGAAGCATATGCCTCATAATTGCTATCCCATTTGCTCTCAGAGCCAAGAGAAGGCCTCATGACTAAAATTAGACTAGGGAGAGTGGAAAACAAAATGTAATTTAGATTATTTTGTTGAAATGACCTTTGGAAATATAACTCATTCTAGTGAGCAGATAACTGGCAAACGTCTCTGTTTGGATGTGTAATATACATTAATAGAGTTGTCAAGGAGCCACTCACACCCTTTCCGTGTTTACAATGGTAAGGGAGGTCCTCAGAGCCCAGGGCTAGAGGAGCAGATGACCTCAGTGCAAACTGAAGCTCATATGAAAACAGGGAGGGCATCTAATATTTTTTATACACTCCATTTAAAAAAAGTTGACATTCAGAGATTCTAATGATATTAGTCCCACATTCCGTAGAATTGATGTGAAGTTCTGCATTCTTTCTGACCTTCAGATAAAACCAAAATGTAAAAAAACAAGATCCCACTGGCAAGTAACGTGGTTGGGAAACATTTCAGTAGCTATGGGCTCAATCGAATCAAACCTGCATTGTGGTATTAACACAGTAGCTCTGTGCCATGTTCAAACTAATTCACAGAATGAATTTGGATTCTATGAAAACCTACTACTGTCCCACGTAGTGTATGTGGGCAGCAGTTTGTCAACAGACACTAAACATTGCCATTGTGAGTTTGATTGAATTCCAGCCATGCGTCACTGGTGTATGACTATAGACTGTGTAAAGCACACTATATCCTGTAGATGGAGATGTTGCTCTTTCAAAAAGTGGCAGTGGGAGAAGAAACAAGTTTTAACATAATCTGCGTCATATATTCATTATATTATTATACGTTAAGATCATTATATGTTTTTATTACAGGCATTTCACACTATAATATTAGGTTGTTTGTATTAGTCATTGTAAAACGTGTCTTTATATTGTGGGTGGATTGTATAAATGAAGGGCTCTCTCACGGTGGTGATCTCACTAGGGAGGTGTGAAAAGGTATGTAAATATACATGTATATTTGCAGTATGACATGTTCTGACATAGTGTAACCACTTCACCCTGCAAGTCTAACACAAGTTGAAAATTCATGTCTGGATTCACTTGTACTGTGTGAACATTGATAGGAGTAGCAGTAATTTGGTTTACTTTTAAGTACATTGAATTGATTACTTTTCATAAATTGGATTTTAAGTGTAAAAAAATGTGCCTGGTATTTCATTTGAATCTTTTCGCCGGATATGGATACTGTTATTGGTTATATAGACACGGAACATCAAACAGTTTGTGTAGTTTTAGTTTTTACCCAAAAATATTTGCAGCTTACGAAACCAGCAGAAATATGATACATCCAGGCATAATGTGTCTGAATAATACAGAGGTACAAATACATGTCATAATATACTGTGATATTAAATTAGCATAGTGGTACAAAATTATTCAAGAGGATAGAAGGGAACAGCAGCTTAAGGGAGATAGAAAATAAAGACAAAATGATAATTTGGGGTGAGGCACTGATACAGTAACTTTTTGACTGACAACACAACCTGTTTTAGCAACAGGCCCACAAGTGATTTAGTAAAAAAAATACATTTAGGAAATCTATTCCCAAGTATTTCCACGAAAGAAAAGAGACATATGTGATCATGTCTCAATGTAATCAAGGTATGGAAATTATTGTTCTTTTCAAATACAATCTCTTTTTGGGCTTAGTTGTGGTCAATTTGCAGTGTACAAATTGTTATAATTATGTTACGGCCCCCCGACCATCCGCTCCGACAAAAATCGGCCTGCGGCTGAATCTAGTTGCCTACCCCTGCTTTAGGCTGTAAAAACGAGTGTTACCTCTAGCCCACTGACTTAAAATCAAGTTAAATCAACTAATGTCACTCATATTACATTTTTTCAACTCATCTTCAACTACTGAGTTGACATTACCAATTCTAAGGCAGCCAGGTCACTTCTTTTTTTAAAAGTTGAAACATATTTATTTTTACAGTGCAAAACTACTTTTGCTATTACCAGTAGGGTTCTAAAATCCCTGGAACTTTCTATAAATTCCCTGGTTTTCCAGAAATCCTGGTTTGAATTCGGATTTCCGAAATTCCAGATTTCCATCTTATTCCCTCCTGATTCCGGGAATCCTCCAACTGGGATTTCGGGAACACCAGGGAATTTATAGAAAATTCCAGGGATTTTGCAAACCTAATCATCAGTGTGTTATAAAATTGGGCAACTGGTATGATTATTGAAGTTGACTGACTTATTGTCAAAACTAATACTGTCCATTGAGGGGTAGGGCTAGGAGGTCAGATGGGAACTGGCTGTCCATTAGGGGGAGAGTGGGGGGGGGGACAAGGATGGGTAGGAGTAGGGGGAGGCTGGGGGCCAGTCTGTTAGAGTGAGTTAGCCGTGATGAAGACGTAGAGCCTGGCCAGGAACGTAGTGAAGGTGCCCTGTCTCCACAGCTTCATCTCCACGTCGATCAGGAAGTCCCGGGGCTCACGTACCTGCCTGTGCAGGTACACTGCGCCTGTGTAGGCGTTCAGCTTCTGCGTGCTAAAGTAGTTCTCCTCGTTGCCCTGGGTGACGCTGATGATGACGTTGTCCCCGGAGTAGGCAGGGGAGGGGCCAATGCGGAAGATCTGGGCGGGGATGACAATGTTGGTCTGGAAGCTCAGGTGGTAGTAGGTGATCCTCAGAGGAGAGTTTTGACAGTCCAGGAAGTTGGGGCAGCTCAGTCGTTCACAGCGCCTAGAGGACCAGCCAATGAGAGTCAGAATCACACATAATCACTATAATGAAAAACAATATTAAAAAAGAAGGAATGCGTATGGTAAAACCACGAGTCAGAGAGTCAGAGTCATGAAATCAACACATCAAATAATAGCGGTCAAAGGGTCAGAATCTCATAGGCAAAACATTACTGTTTGTCCAGGTCATTTCAAAATAGGACCAAAGAGAAATAGAAGAGAGATGAAGCCATAAACTCAATAGTGTGATTCCAGACAGATCTTCCGACTCCTAGCTGATGTATCATGGCCTCCGTCCACTGTGGCCTTTCTGTTTCACAGCTTTGATCAGATTACCCAGCCTGACACATTACCCTCAAGGGAAACATTGTTCCTTCCCGCATACACTCCACTAGATTGGAGAAAGACCTCAAAAGATCTTTGAACTTTGAGGAAATCAAGAGAACACAGTTGACCAGCCCCAGAGGGCAACATGAAAACGCAGTTGAAAATGCCATTTTTTTTGCTTTTCCAACAACACAGAAGCTTAAAAGTCTTCAATTCAACTGTAGTTCAACTCTGTTCCAAGGAGTCCTGGGATAACCGATGAGTTGAGATACAGTAACTTACGTATCAGAGGATTTGCGGTAGTTCTGTGGACAGTCGAAGGACAGACAGCGGAAGCCTCCCTGGATGTTGTAGCAGGTCTCAGCCAATGAGCAGTTATGGGCCCCGATGGCACACTCATCTATGTCTGTAACCCAAACCATAGTCAGCTCAGCGGTAATGTGTGTATGTGTTAGGTGTATGTAATGTGTGTATCAGTGTTTCCTCACCTCTGCAGGAGCGTCCGTTGGGAGACATTGTGTAGCCATAGTCAGGACAGGCACACTGGTAGCTCCCTGGGACGTTCACACACTTAAAGGAACACAGGTGGCCAATGCTCTGGGCACACTCATCAATGTCCTCACAGGTTTGTCCATCTTCCCTCAGGTAGTAGCCTTGTCTGCAGTAACACTGGTAGGAGCCGTAGATGTTGGCACACTCCTGACTGCAGGGGTTGGTTAGACACTCATTCACATCTGTAAGACATTCAAAGATGGAAGAAGACCGTTGCTGTACCATTTCAAAGTAACTCTTGAAACAATGTCATGATGTCCATGACGTCACAGAATGCAATATGTTTATGTCTCTATATCTCTCCACCAACAGCCACTACTGGCTTTAGACTATCAGTCCAATCACACAGTCCTCTAGAGGTGTGACAGGGGGAACAAAAGCCTTCTCTGTCCTACTGGGAATGTAACAGGACACACACACACTCACCTTCACAGTTCTTGCCATCGCTGGATAAGCTGAAGCCGGCGGTGCAGGAGCACTGATAGGATCCCGGGGTGTTCTCACAGGTCTGGGCACACAGGCGGCCGGGGAAGCGCCAACACTCATTCACATCTGACGAGAGTGGAGGGAGATTGTGAGTGTGTGTGTATGTGTGTGTGTGTGTGTGTGTGTGTGTGTGTGTGTGTGTGTGTGTGAGAGAGAGAGAGAGAGAGAGAGAGAGAATGTGTGTGTGAGAGAGAGAAAGTGTGTATACAAAATGTATGTATGTGTTCGTACACCTCCTTAGTGTGTGTGAATAGGGGTGTGAAATGCTGCCTGCTGATAGTCTAAACATTCCACTGGAGTCCATTATTATTGAAGTCACAACCCAGTGAATCAGCACACTGTTCTCTGCAGAGGCTGGCTGGCTGGCTGGCTGGCTGACTGACTGGTTGGCTGACTGGCTGGCTGCCTGACTGGCTGGCTGACTGGCTGGCTGACTGACTGGCTGGCTGACTGGCTGGCTGGCTGACTGGCTGGCTGACTGGCTGGCTGGCTGGCTGGCTGGCTGACTGGCTGGCTGGCTGGCTGGCTGACTGGCTGACTGGCTGGCTGGCTGACTGGCTGGCTGGCTGGCTGGCTGGCTGACTGGTTGGCTGACTGGCTGGCTGGCTGGTTGGCTGACTGGCTGGCTGGCTGGCTGGCTGACTGGTTGGCTGACTGGCTGGTTGGCTGGCTGGCTGCCTGGCTGACTGGTTGGCTGACTGGTTGGCTGGCTGACTGGCTGGCTGGCTGGCTGGCTGACTGGCTGACTGACTGACTGGCTGGCTGACTGCAGCCCAGAGGAAAAGAGCAGAGCAGCAGGAGATAAGACTGCAGCAGAAGTGAGCTGCCTGGGAGACTAACTGCAGCAACTCTCACACAATACAGAGAAGACCAGGAGAGGAACAAAACAGGCATGGGCAGTATACCATATACAGCAGAGACAATCAATCCCCTCCTGGATTGTATTTTTGTGTTATTTTTTACATTTGCAAAGAAATAGTGGCCCTTGTGTGCACTGCTGGTAATACCATATACCCCGGTATGTTACAGGAACAGTATGAAGGTGGGGTGGGGGTGCTCGGAGAGAGAGAGAGGACTATATTCTACTTCTCAAATTAAGATAGAGAGATAGAGACAGAAGAACATCTGAACATGTTAATCCATATTGCAAGCATCCTACGAAAACCATCCAGGACTATTCTGACGAAGATTTCATTTCAATGAGCAAGTGAAAAGCGGGAACTTCTTTTTGCTTGAGGTCAGTAGGCCATAAAGTACCTACCCACACACATCTTCCTGAACATGTCGTACTGGTAGCCCGTCTGGCAGTCACAGCGGTAGGAGCCGGGCAGGTTGTGGCAGATCTGTCCCTCCCCACAGCGATGCAGAGCGCTCTGACACTCATCCAAATCTGGACACAGGAAGTGAGGGAGAGAGGAAGCGAGGCGAGAGGAAGAGAGGAGAGATCTTGTTGATGGTGACCATGAAAATGAAAATCACAGATCTGTTTACTACTCCTACCTATGCACCTGGCTCCATCAGGGCTTGCGTGGTAACCACGGTTACACATGATGATCTTCCTCTGGCAGCTGTAGGATCCCACTGTGTTGATACAGTTAAAGCCAGGACTGCAGGGTTGGCCCACTACACCACATTCATCTATGTCTGATGGATGGAGAGGGGGGTGATGGAGGAAGGAAAGAGGGAGGATCGGTCACATAGGGGGAGGGGGGAACAGGGGATGTGGGTGTGTGGAGGGGCAGTTTGAGAAGGGAGGACAGAAAAGGAAGAACAGAGGAACACCGGAGGACAGGGAGAAAGAGGGGACAAAGAGAGTGAGAGAGATTGTCAGCCATTTAGTCACACTGTGTTACTCAGAGGCAGACACACAGCAGACACTTCCATTCCCTGGGATCATTTTGGTGCGTGTGTGTGTAACTCTATTTTCTAATCTTCTAACTGTGCATTTTACACTGTTTTACAGTGGTTCAGAACTGCCTAGACATGCCCCAGTTCCTGTCCCTCAGGCTCATTCCTCAGCATCAGAATGTACTGACTGGAGGAGGAGGGTTGGCTTTCATCCGCCCCACTGCAGCCTGCTGTGCTCCCCTCTAATCCCCTGCCTGTGTGGCATTTAACCCCTCTGTACCTGGTCTGGTCTGCTGGGTGTTGGTTTAAACCTCACTACCTGTGTGGCATTTAACCCCTCTTTACCTGATCTGAACTGCTGGATGTTGGATTAAACCTCACTATCTGTGTGGCATTTAACCCCTCTGTACCTGATCTGGACTGGGTAAACCATTACATTCATATTGACACACTACTATCGTTATGTTCATATTGTTTTGTGCATACTATTACACTTGTTAACAGTGGCCCAGGTCTGCCCAGGCCTAGCCCACCCAGTCGGTCCGGACAGCCCTTCTTACCGATGCAATTCCCATGTGTGTCCTGTGTGAAGCCCATGGAGCAGTGAGGTTTGGCGTTACACCTGAACGAGCCCTCAGTGTTCACACATTCAAAGCCTGGCCCACAGTTATGAGTCCCCTGAACACACTCGTCAATATCTGTGGACAGAGACAGTCATTATAAACAGGATGTAGGCTAGAAATAAAACCTAATATATGACACATTTTTTGGTTGGTGAACTATTGTCAGTTTGTAATCCATTGAGTTGCTTAGAAGAGAAACAAAACGACTTATACGTTGCAAGCCTGTTATTGTTATGTCTACTGTAACCACTGGGTGTCACTGTGTCACTGTGGCTTTGAGATCGAGTGGCTTTGAGATAGAGTGCCAGATAAATAATTTCACATAGATTTATTCAAACACTCTTCCTCCCCTTTAAGGAAACCATCAACAATAAAATGGTTCATTTTCCAACTTCGGAGAGGATCCTAGGAAGGTTCCCACCACCAATCATCCTCATTGCAGTAGTTCCACAGCAGGTAGAGCTTTTTATTTCTACATGAGGAATTATTACATTTACATTTACGTCATTTAGCAGACGCTCTTATCCAGAGCGACTATCTCTATTAAATCAGCCCGGCAGACAATAGTGATGTGCATTAGTCTTCCTGTTCTCTAGTGTTCTCAGGGTTGACGACTTCATCTTACTCAGACATATTCCCTTGTGACAGAGGAAATGGAAGCTTGTTGTGTGCAACAGGGAGTGGCAATTAAATGCAAGCTTCACAAAACAAATGAAATTGTTAAAACATTTCTAGCATGTCTATCTATGGGTAACAGGGTTGACGTGTTATGCTCGATCCGCTCAGTTTTCCACCACAAAACACCAGAAATGGCCAAGAAGAGTATAACCAGCTCACCTGCTTTTACACTATGATTTGACTATTAGACGTTCAATGTTTCTTTTGAAGAAAAAAATTCAGTTCACGTAGCAGGGTTGACCTTAAAATGAGGGACAGATGTAAATGAATCACTAACAACATGAAATAAATAATAATCTTCAGAAATGATTGTCAAAGCAACAAAATAACTAGGGCTTTACAATGATGGTGAATGATGTTGGGGTTAAGTGGGTTAAAATCTTCCTAGAGGTGAAACGGCGGGACATGCTGCATTTTGGCCCTTTAGCAAGTCTTTATTCAATTATCCATGGGGTCTATAATAAAGGGCACTTCATTTAATATAACAGGCTTTTAAAATTCAATATTGGTGCAATATTGGTGCACAATTTCTACTTAAAATATAAAAGGGACCACCCATTTCGTGGAACGACCCAGCTCTGTGCTGCAGCTCCTCCACCTGTCTACACTGGGATTCCCCAGCTGTCAATCATCCTGACATATCTGCTGCTGTACAGAGCCTCATCACTGTAGGGAAATCACATCTGTCATAAACAGGACTTAAAGAGCCAACTTGTGTGTGTGTGTGTGTGTGTGTGTGTGTGTGTGTGTGTGTGTGTGTGTGTGTGTGTGTGTGTGTGTGTGTGTGTGTGTGTGTGTGTGTGTGTGGTGTGTGTGTGTGTGTGGATGTATTTAACTTTACCAGAAGTCCCCACAAGAATAGTAAACAAACAAAAATTTGACCAACTGGGGGACCTTTTTTTAGTCCCCACAAGGTCAAAAGCTATTTCTAGGGGGTTTAGGGTTAAGGTTAGAATTAGTGTTAGGGTTAGAATTAGGTTTAGGGTTAGGGTTAGGAGCTAGGGTTAGTTTTAGGGTTAGGGTTAGGAGCTAGGGTTAGGTTTAGGGTTAAGGTTAGATTATTGGGTTAGGGTTAAGGTTAGGGTAAGGGTTAGGGTTAGGTTTAGGGGTTAGGGAAAATAGGATTTTGAATGGGACTGAATTGTGTCCAACAAGGTTAGTTATACAAGACTGTGTGTGTGTATGTGTGTGTGTGTGTGTGTGTGTATATATATATGTGTGTGTGTGTGTGTGTGTGTGTGTGTGTGTGTGTGTATGTGTGTGTGTGTGTGCATGCAGCAAGCAACCAAGTGTGTGTCCTACTCTGTGCGTGAAACCACATGTACTGTATGCGTGCGTGAGGCTCCATGATCCCTGTAGGGAAATGATACAGTATGTGCCACGCTAAAGCCCCAGCATGTCCCCTGGGTAGGGCAGGGCTTAACTAGCTTATTAAGACCATCCCGGCCCTGACACATGCCTGATAAGGCTAGAACAGGTCTGACAGACCCAGACACACTGAGACAGAGAGAGACAGTGGCTAGGGATAAACATGTGAGAGATTGGCAGGGTGTTCAATCCCAGTCAAAGCAATACTGTAGGAAGGTATTTGGCTCACAACAAATCAAGAAGGGAGCTGGCTCGATGAGCTCACAGAGGCCAGGGAGTTCATTCTCCCCAAGCAGGGACTGCAATTATTGGCTAAGAAATTGGGGAAGGCAATCAACTCCTGGAGTAAGCAATGAGGAGAGAATTTTGCTCCTGGTTTGAGGAAGTTGCTCTCTTTGTAAGATGCTGGAGGGGAGGGGACTTCAGTCCAGAGTGGAGTTTGGTCGATGTGTAGGAAGTAATGGGCAGGGAATTCAAAGGGGAGTAGAAACACACCAAACTCCAACCAGCCGTCTGAAGTGGCAGCTGTTATGAGCCCATTGGAAAGTTCCATTGGGAAGTTTAATGCTCATTTGGTTCACCGCTGTATGAGTTTAATTTACGTTGAAGCCGCCACCAGAGCCCATTGAGACTCATCCTTCAGTGCTCACCAACAGGACTTTAACAACCTGCTCATCTCACAGATCTATCTCAGAGCACACCGGCTGTGTGTAAGAGCCCGGCGTTAGCATCCCCTTCCATGTGTGGGTTATGGAAATAATGAAGAACGCTCTGAGGTTTCCTTTGACAATGGAGCAGTGGCCTCAACCAACATAAACACAAGTCAAGTGAGTTCTTCGTACAGAGACAGAGGGTATGCAGGCAAAAAAAACGAAACTACAACATAATGCTATTATCTAGTCTGTAATCACGTTCAGTATCAAAAACACTTGTTTGGTGGTCAGTTGCGAAATTGTGTTATAACTGCATTGTAGCTTACATGATGAATGGTTCCAGATCTGATAGGCAGCTCCAAACCTTTGACTCATAGTCACTCCCAAGGCTGGCAACTATGACTGTAAAACTAAACAATTGTGAAAGGTTGGGAGCTGCCTATCACATTGTGAAAGGTCAAGGTAATGCACAGTTGTTGTGTTGCTACAAGTTACAACTATACATGGGCCTACCGGAGAGTGAATGCTTTGGGCGCTGCTACAAATTGCAGCTACAGTACCTTCACAGACATCGTTGCTGATCTGGTAACCCAGAGGACAGGTGATCTGACGCTGACACTCAAAACTCCCAGCCGTGTTCACACAGCGCTCGTTCATCTGACAGGTACGGGTGGACATCATACACTCATTGATATCTGTGTGGAAAGAGAGTGAGGGGGGGAAAGAGGAAGAGGGAGAGAGAGAGAACGAGAGAGTGAGAGAGAACAGAGAGAAAGTAAGCACATTGGAATAACCCCTATAGTCACCTCTAGTCATGTGTAATTCTCAGTGCAACACAGTGCCAGTCCCAGCTAGATTAAGCAGTCTGCATGGCCCTGGCCTTGGCCTCCACAGAGAGAAGGGATTGGGGAGAGATCGATAACACACTGCACCACCATTCACCATGTCACAACAGAACAGTCCACCGCCATCAAGCAGGAAGTCTTAGTCTGCAAGAAGAGATGGCTTATCCCTTTAATGTGGAATCAGAGCAATCTCTAACACAGTGTGACATAACGTATGCATTCTACGAGACGACTTAAACAGATACTGTAGCTCACTAATCAGCTTCATCATAAGAACCATACAACCACACGACCATACAACCACACAACCATACCAGTGGAGGACCATGTCATGACTCCCCCTGGGTGAGGATCAAAGGTCCTCATATCAGCCAAGACAATGGTCGACAACAACCAGACCCTCTTACCCACGGGGGGGGGGGGGGGGGGGGGCTGTGCCGGTCTTGACACATCATCTATCTCTGGCCCTGTAGTATGGTGAAAGGAATGTCCTTTGTTTCAGAGACTTTCGCCGCCCAAAAACCTCAACATCCAACAATGAACATTGGGACAATATATTTCAACCTCCAAATGTTGGGAATGATGAGAAATGGAATATGTAAAATGTATGTCTATTTTGTAATGTCATTAAAAATGGTATAAAGGCATTATATGAAAACATTGTGACTTGAAGAGCTTTTACACTGTGTACATCAGGTATACATCCTTTACATTGGGTAGAAAATATCAAGGAGGAAGACAATGTTTTCGTGAAGATAGGAATGTGATTTTAGCTTTCTAACAAGATCATAGTGATGATAATACTTTTGCCTCGTAACTAGCCACGCCCGAGGGAGCTCAGAGAGCGTGTCAGTATGACGGAAACGCCCCTCTTTACCAGAGTGCATAAAAGACTGCGATAAGAATTATCAGATCAGACTAGACGGACCTCAAGCTGCAGCTGTTGTCCATATTGGTCCCGACCCTGAAAATCAACACGAAGTGAAGACGACAAAGTTGCCTCCACTAACAATCAATGTTACGGCTGAGTAGCTGTTCTAAGTACTGTATCTAAGAAGGTGAATTTAAGTGGGACCATCATGTTACTCTCTTCAAACCATCGTCTACTGCACTGCTCTCATCACCACACAGGGGATCATCGACACAGCTGATTAGCCGTCCTCAGAAGACCACTTCCAGAACGAGTGAAAGTAAACAGACGACTAAGAAGAAGGACATTGTGACCTCTTGTGGACAATCTGAGCCTTACATCTGAACCTTACATCTAAAAGGCCATCCGAAAAGAGAAGGCCCAATCGACCCTTCCCACGAAGGCCTGGGTCCAACAGAGACAACGAAGACAAACACGTAAATACATGCATTACTTCTTACCAAACGGGCGGCAGTACATGGCAAATTATTAGGATTACTAGGAGTATAGGTCCATGTGTATCCAAGTGTTTTCTCTCGCTCACTCTCTCTCTCTTTAAATCGTTATCTTTTGTAACAAGTGTCATATTGTGTTAGTTAGTTTCTAATCCTTACCTATACCGTGTATGTGTTTGTATCTTGTGTTATCATTTTTAATTAGTTAGTAAATAAATAATTAAATTTGTGTGGTACGGAATGATCAGTAAGACCCGGGTTCGTGCAGAATTAAAAAGTCTACGACTTTCACAATGAGACTGATATGAGGTAAATGATTAATAAATTACTGTTAAATGATAAGAGATATCAAGATACCTTTAGAGTTAATTCGGGAAACGGTAACTCGTTAAACAACTTTTCCCGTGGTGCCCCACATTTCTAATGAGTTAATTGTTACATGATTAATTTAATCTAGTAACAATTAAACATAGTAGGTAATTATTCAGTAAATAATAGTCATCACAATAATGAAAGGCACGTCACGACAACCATCTTCCTCAGTGAATTTCATAAAAATAAAAATGGTAAAACATTAAAAAAGTTATCCTTTTTAGATGAAACTATACTAAATACATTTACATCCCCAAATAATTGACTAAAACTCACTTTCTTTTTTGCAATGAAGTTCTACAGTAGCCTCAACAGCACTCTGTAGGGTAGCACCATGGTGTAGCTGGAGGACAGCTAGTTTCCATCCTCCTCTGCGTACATTGACTTCAATACAAAACCTAGGAGGCTCATGGTTCTCACCCCCTTCCATAGACTTACACAGTAATTATGACAACTTTCGGAGGACGTCCTCCAACCTATCAGAACTCTTGCAGCATGAACTGACATGTTGTCCACCCAATCAAAGGATCAGAGAATGAATTTAGTACTGAAAGCATAAGCTACAACTAGCTAGCACTGCAGTGCATAAAATGTTGTGAGTAGTTGACTCAAAGAGAGAGAAAGACAATAGTTGAACAGTTTTGAACAAATACATTTCTTCCAAAATGAAGAAGAAGCAAGAAAGAGAGATAGTCATTTTTTTACAGTTTCACTTATTGAGCTAGCAAATGCAGCTAGCTAGTTTAGCCTACTCAATTACCCTGCTCAAACAGAGAGATGCTATGTTAGCTAGCTGGCTATGACTATCCAACACAACACTGGAAGTCAAAGTAAGCTTTGATTTTACTAATGTATTGCCACCGGGGCCCGACGGTGTAAGTGCTAAACTGCTTACAGTGTAACGTTAATGCATGATTGTAGTGGGTTTACTAATGCATTAGTTATATTAGCTATGTTGACTATGACGTTACTTTACCTAATATGGTAACAACGATGTGGGATGTGTGTAGCGGTTATGATATGGTTTGTAAAGTTTTTTTTGCCTTGTCACATACAGCTGATGTGTTGTGCATTGAAGTCCACAAGCGAAGGGAAACGGTGAGAGGAGGAAAGCGCATAGATTCGAGAAGGAACACAACGTGGCTGCTATGACAGTGAACTGTGTTTACGCGTGATCAAGGGTGTATTCATTCTGCCGATTCTGTTGAAAAACGTTTCTTAAACGGAACGAAACTGGGATAAACATACCTGAATTTGTCCAATAGAAACTCTAATTTGCAACTGTTGGACTAATGATTACACCCTAGATCAGCTAGATGCAGGCAAGAGTGTGCAAGGCGGTATTGAATGTGTCACTGTCTGTCACCTCAACTTTTTCTCTCGACCTGTGTGCACCTACGTTGTAAACTTTCATTCCATGGCAAGGTTGTAGCAACCTCATGATGGGTATAGGGAAAATTTGAGTATCATGTAGTAGCCTAAACCGCTGTTACATTGAACTGGGTGAATGGAATATGAATGACAGTCATCCAATATGCTGCAATAGAAATAAGGCCATGCTCATAAAAATAGAAAAATCGTCCTCCCTCATCTTAAACGGCACCGACCGCCACTGAACCATACAACCACACAATCCCATATTGTGTGTTGATTTGATTTGCTCAGGGAGATCTCAACCAGTAGACGTGTGTGACGTGTAGTAGTGTAGGTACAGTATGAGATCGCATAGATAGAAACTCATTTAATCCCATAGTGGAGCCTGCCTCTGAATATAAGGTTCTGTTTGTCTGCAGCCGAGCGTCTCCTCCTCCAGTGTCATTGTGAAAAAAAGGGGATTAGTGTGTGTGTGTGTGTGTGCGTGTGTGTGTGTGTGTGTCCCTTACCGTCACAGGATTGCCTGTCAGCCATCAGAGAGAACCCTGGGAAACAGGAGCAGTGAGGCCTTCCGGCCACTGGGGAGCACTGTTGCATACAGGGACTATTTCCTGCTCAGAGGGGCACAACATCACACCAAAACACAACAGTAGTCAGGGTGACATAAGTCAGAGTGGGCAAGTCCCTGGCCTTGCGTGTGTGTGTTAGATAACCTTGGTGTGATTTTCTGTATCCCTATTCACTCATTTCCTGTTTCCACTTTGACCCCTGACCTGTTCGTATTGTATTTCCTCCTGTGGCCCGCTGGGACCGGACCCCACCCTTGAGTTATGGAGGCAAACAAACACCCTGAGGAGACCTCCCCACTAGATATAATATGCTGGACTACACAGGGATAGCTGGAGACTTCTCAATACACACAGGAGCTTCATGGCCTTCGATGCAATCTGTATACTTGTATGTGACATTTAAACCACAGGAGGTTGGTGGAACCTTAATTGGGAAGGACGGGCTCATGGTAATAGCTGGAACGGAATTAATGGAATGGTATCGAATGGTATTGAGGAAAAAACGGTAATGTGAAGGAATGTGACATGAATCACAATAGAAGGGTGCATAACTGAAAACCTTACGGGCCTTGGGGTCTCTTAAGGGACCGGATGGCTGTCTAATGACTGTTTCCTACCTAATAGGCTGTTCCCTAATGGTTCCAGACATGCATTTGGGTTCTCCTATCAAAACTAATCACTGATTTGAACATATGAAAACACAGTAGACATTGGGGTCTGCCAGGTTTACAGTAGATAGGCACCACCCTGGCCTACAGTCAGGTTCTACTCACCCTCACATGGGTTTACAGGGGTTGGAGTGGTGGGGGGTACGGTGGAGGTAGACTCAACCTCTGGCCTGTCATCCTCTCTCAGTCTGTTCTCTTCATCCACCGTCTCTGTGAAAACAGGACTATTCTCATCACGGAAAATACTAATTAAACAGTATAACCAACAAACCACCCAGAGTCATCCTATCTTTGCGGATAAGGAGAAATCTGTGAAATGCCTTCAATTCATCCACAGATATGAGGCTAGACAGCAACAGAGCACAGATGAAAGTTCCCTCAGAAAGCGAGAGAGTTGGGGTACGACAGGAAAAGGCATGGTCTGCAGACAAACCTGTTTTTATTATTGGGACTAACTGTCATTTTCTGTAAAGTAGGTCTCACATCAGATTCCTGTTGAGACAGGCTTGTGCTGGTGAAAGCCCCATTAAAGGTATGGCACACTTACAGTAGCCTACAGTACAGCAGGTTGGAAATACCTGGAAATACTTTCTTTACTTATCTAAATGCATGTAGGCTACTGTTATAATAACTGTGACAAGAGGCTTTATCAAAACAGTATGAGACGTTAACGATATACAGGTACAGCATCTATCTATTTGGCACAACGTACCTGTCACAAAGGTACTACACTCCAGAATCAGCCCTCTCTCAGTGGTTTTATGGACTTACATTTACATAACTGTTATATACTTTAGGGGTGCCAATCTGTTTCCACTTTCTCCAACTTGCCGTCGTCTTGCCAATTAAGGCAACTGTGTGCCGTTATTGAATGCCGAAACAGTCAGACACCCAGGCTATTAGCGAAGTGATCTTTCACATACAGTATAGTGGAGTACTGTAAGGTGCATGGTCTGACATATTCTAACAACCTACGAGCAGTTTTCCTTTACCTGGTACACAGCTGGCCGTGTCCTGCTGCAGCACATAGCCAGGGTAACAGGCACACCTGAAGGAGCCAGGGGTGTTGATACACCTGTGGTGGCACAGTGTCCTCTGGTACACCTGGCACTCATCTACATCCTCCACCTCCGGAGGGCCCTCCACCGTGTTCTCCCTCTCCTGCTCCTCCTCCTCCCCGATGGAGAAGGCCTCTTTAGGGAACGGGCTGTCTGACACTACAGAGCAAGGAGAGAGGACTGTCACTAATAGCCTTACCTCTATGTTGTACAGTATAATAGAGTCAAGTAAAGCAGATGAACCAAGGCAGTTGGATACAAGAGAATACAGAACAGGAACTCTATCACTTGTAAAATATTGTACAGTATAGTAATAACCTACCTTCACTCTGGTAGGGCAGTGTGGTGCACAAAGTGGGAAGAGTCCTCTACAAAGCCTCTCTTTAGTAAGGAGAGGTAAAGAGGCTCTCGTTTGTGCCTTTCTTTGGCAGTACACTGGTGTGTTACACTACCCCTTGAGAGTGCAGTGGTGTGTGTAGTGTGTGCGTGCGTGTCTGCAAGACTCTACCTCTTTTTGCCACTGCAGTGGGGTCCAGTGCGGGTCTCTCTTTGAGCGTGTCCCAGCCGTCTCCCTCTCCTCCCTGTCCCTCCTCCCCTGCCCCCCCCTCCTCTCCCTCACAGCAGGTGAGGAAGACGTGGCTGCAGGGGTAACCCAGGTACTTGTGAGCCTCACAGCGGTGGCCCTCGCTACGGAACCTCAGCCCCAGAGAGCAGCAGCTACAACACTCCTATATGGTGGGCAGATTCAACATCAGACTACCGTGTGTACCATATCAAGTGTGCCTGACTGGAAGAAGACTGTACGGTCAAACAATATACTGTATGCTATGTTTAAGGAGTTTCATATAAAACTCAGAACTCAGAGTTCCTCTTTCACATCTATCCCCACCTCTCTCCCTCATTTCAACCCTCTATCTTCCCTCCCTCTCAGCCCTCAGCAGGATATCGTTCAGGCTACATGGGGGAGAGTGAAACATAAAACTGAAATAGTGACCATCAGGATATAGTGTGGCTGTGCAGAAGTGTTATACGACTTGAGTTATGTAGAGCCCATGGTGGGGTGGTAAAAAACAATATTTAACATTACACCAAGGCCTTGATTATATAATGGCCCCTTCTTTTGGGCGCTCTGGGTACTTCCTGGAACACAGGTATGATGGCAGATTAATGGTTCAGGAAATATGGGCTAATACGCTTCTACTCCAAACTACATCACAACGATTTTACTCTCACTGATAACCATAACAGACCTTGGCCTACATAGCTATACATTCCCCAGAAATATTAAATACAGTATCATTGCTGTTTCCAAAATACCAGCGAGTACAAGCTATTGATTTAGAGAGGATGGTGAAAAAGGTATGAGACATCTCCTGCAGTACTGCAACCTCGTTTCATGACTGTGAACCATAAAGCTGTGGGAACCTTGGACCACAAACATGGTCCTTCCTCTCTAAATTGTCTAAATTGAATGAGAGGTAATTGAATCACAGAGGGATTCTAAATGGTCCTCCTGATTGGTGTGGTCTTCACTGGCAATAACTAGGGCCAGTCGAAATCTGCAGGGAGGTTATCTTTTAACTACTTTTAAAGTTGTCTCTGTACTATACATTGAAACTGTGGCTATTCATGTCTTGTAGAGATATTTGGTTTGATTTAAATTCAATCCAGGTAGGCTATGTTTAACCTTAAATCATTCTGGGGACTGACAGTGTACAATTCGGTCAGCTCGTTGAACAGTTCAGGAAACAGGGTCACATAAGAATATCTGGACATTTAACAAATTATTTCATCCAAATCCAAGCACATATATCCAGTGTTAAAACAGAAGTAGGAGTCATGTGCACAGCATTGCATCTTTTTCAAGGAGTTGGTTGTGGCAAGAACAACAGAACATTACTCACTATACAGTGGCTTGCGAAAGTATTCACCCCCCTTGGCATTTTTCCTATTTTGTTGCCTTACAACCTGGAATTAAAATTGATTTTTTGAGGGTTTGTATCATTTGATTTACACAACATGCCTACCATTTTGAAGATGCAAAATAAAAAAATGTGTGAAACAAACGAGAGATAAGACAACCCCCCCCCTCCCCCCACACCCCAAAGTCAAAACTTTGTAGAGCCACCTTTTGCAGCAATTACAGCTGCAAGTCTCTTGGGGTATGTCTCTATAAGCTTGGCACATCTAGCCACTGGGATTTTTGCCCATTCTTCAAGGCAAAACTGCTCCAGCTCCTTCAAGTTGGATGGGTTCTGCTGGTGTACAGCAATCTTTAAGTCATACCACAGATTATCAGTTGGATTGAGGTCTGGGCTTTGACTAGGCCATTCCAAGACATTTAAATGTTTCCCCTTAAACCACTCAAGTGTTGCTTTAGCAGTATGCTTAGGGTCATTGTCCTGCTGGAAGGTGAACCTCTGTCCCAGTCTCAAATCTCTGGAAGACTGAAAAAGAATTTCCCTATATTTAGCGCCATCCATCATTCCTTCAATTCTGACCAGTTTCCCAGTCCCTGCCGATGAAAAACATCCCCACAGCATGATGCTGCCACCACCATGCTTCACTGTGGGGATGGTGTTCTCGGGGTGATGAGAGGTGTTGGGTTTGCGCCAGACATAGCGTCTTCCTTGATGGCCAAATAGCTCAATTTTAGTCTCATCTGACCAGAGTACCTTCTTCCATATGTTTGGGGAGTCTCTCCCACGTGTTTGCTTATTTTTTCTTTAAGCAATGGCTTTTTTCTGCCCACTCTACCGTAAAGCCCAGCTCTGTGGAGTGTACGGCTTAAAGTGGTCCTATGGACATATACTCCAATCTCCGCTGTGGAGCTTTGCAGCTCCTTCAGGGTTATCTTTGGTCTTTTTGTTGCCTCTCTGATTAATGCCCTCCTTGCCTGGTCTGTGAGTTTTGGTGGGCGGCCCTCTCTTGGCAGGTTTGTTGTGGTGCCATATTCTTTCAATTTTTTAAATAATGGATTTAATGGTGCTCCGTTGCATGTTCAAAGTTTCTGATATTTTTTTATAACCCAACCCTGATCTGTACTTCTCCACAACTTTGTCCCTGACCTGTTTGGAGAGCTCCTTGGTCTTCATGGTGCCGCTTGCTTGGTGGTGCCCCTTGCTTAGTGGTGTTGCAGGCTCTGGGGCCTTTCAGAACAGGTATATATTCGGAGATCATGTGACAGATCATGTGACACTTAGATTGCACACAGGTGGACTTTATTTAACTAATTATGTGACTTCTGAAGGTAATTGGTTGTACCAGATCTTATTTAGGGGCTTCATAGCAAAGGGGGTGAATACATATGCACACACCACTTTTCCGTTATTCATTTTTTATAATTTTATGAAACAAGTTATTTTTTTTCATTTCACTTCACCAATTTGGACTATTTAGTGTATGTCCATTATATGAAATTCAAATAAAAATCCATTTAAATTACAGGTTGTAATGCAACAAAATAGGAAAAACGCCAAGGGGGATGACTACTTTTGCAAGGCACTGTATGTAATGTGGCCTATGTGGGAATCAAACCCACAACTCTGATGTAGCACCAGCAAACAACCAACTGAACCATGGGAAGCACCTTTACCTTGTAGGAATCGGCTCCACACTCGTCATTGTTGTCCACCTCACACACAGTTCCTTCTCTGGCTGCAGTCATACCAGAGAAACAGCGACTCTCCTTCAGAGAGCCCAGACAGCACTGTTTCTGAGCCGTCCTGGCAGAGAAAGAGAGAAACACAGGAGAGATGTTAGAATGTGAGGCAGTGTTTTGACTGTACCTAGGCCTAACTGTGGTCCTAGACTAATGGTGGGTTGGCTAGCTGTGCCTACCTCTGGCCAAAACCAGCATTGTCTGGAATTGTTATGGAACCAAATTGGAAGTCTATTAAGGCAAACATTCACACTAGTATGCTGTGCAATATAATGTCATTTTCGAAAGATTATGAGAGGGCCTGTAAAATATTTGGTTTTGATATTGGCACTGGTAATCAAATTGAAGATAGAAAGTCATATCATTCCCTTCATATTCAAAACATCAACGACAAATACTACTAACTTTCATTGAATCATGCTATACAATAATGACATGGGCCCACCTAAGAATACATTTATTAGATGATCATATTTTAAGTACGCTAAAAAAGTACACAAATTAGAATGAACTAAATTAATGCATAGTTGCATTGCCATCAACGACAAGTTGGCTGAAGCAGAAACAAACTTGGCAGACAGGCCATCCCTCATTGGCATAGTGAAAGCAGTAAAGCTGACATTTATAAGACGTTCTGTAGCTAAGTAGGACCCTGAGCATGACCAGGAAAAACTCAGGTCCCTACCAATGAGGAATTACTACACAGGAATTGGGCATCCTAGTACTTGTGTCCAGTGTGTCTCCATGGGCTTACCGACAGATGGAGTGTCTATCCTCTCTGGGGAGCTCCATGTTGCTGCAGTGGCCGTTCGCTGAGGCCCACTTCTCCCCAGTCTCACAGCAGATCTCCACCAACTCCTTGGAAGAAACTACAGAAACACAGACAGACAGACACACAGATGGGGTTGTAGTCAGTGTTTCAGAGGGAACGTGAAATGAAAAAAAAGTCATAGAAGATCATGAAGAAGAGATCACCATTGGACAGGGCAATCTCAGACTCTCAGACTGTATCATTCATGCTATAGATCTTACTCAGTCCTTCATGGAAGTCAGGTTTTAATGTGTACGATTGTAGTCTATGCAATATCAAAAGAGAAATAAATCCTAGGAAGTTTATTGAGAGTGTGTCTGCATCCCAGCTTGACTGTTACTGTTCCACAATGTATTTTAAGAGTTGTTGACTTTGGTCTGAATGTGCTTTTGGTGAATAGACTGAATACACATTCAGCAGCATGAGGAACAAATTAAGTTATTCTTTTCCACCTCTGTCTCCCTCTCTCTGTGTTTCCCTGGCAGGGAGCACTGTGAAACCTTAGACTCTATTAAGTATACAGAGCCAATGCAGCCAACATTTTAGCTTGAAGACTAATCAGTGTTCAGGCAACACATTTTCACCCCCATTCATCACTAGGAACAGACAGACGAGAAAACATAGCATCTCATTTAGAGTTCAAATATGCTTGGCTATGATGACTCCAGATCATCGATTCCAACTTTGATTGGTGCCTCCTGTGCTGTAGTTCTTTGGACAGACTGAACCTAACCCTCTAGGATAAAGATATGTTTCCTAGTGTAGCCATGCCTGCTGAAAAGGTAGGCCTGTAGCCTACAATATTGTATCTCTCTGGTTGGTATAATTAGGTGAATCTATGATGTGCCTCTTTCCGGCCATTTCTCCCAGACAAACTCATCGTTTGATACAAAGTTTGCTGCTAATGTAACATGTTTGCTAACCAAGGCCTCCCACTGGGCACACCATGTCATTTCACAGTGGAAATGTGGGTAATCTTTGGTTGAGATGTTGACCGATGAGATTTCAACCTTTATTCACCCACTCAAAAAGACAGCCTGAAGTTTGTTGAATTCCCAATGTGTTAGCACAACCAAATTCCAATGGAAAAACAATATCAGATTTTTGGTTTTGTTGTCATCTAAATGTGTTATCAATGCACTTTAAACCATTTAAAAGCACAACAAAGTTCAAATGGGAGATATTTTGTATTTATACAATAACTTAATGTGCTTCATCTAATAGCATAACCAAAATTACCTGGATTGCAGTTGAGATTACATTCACAGTACATAGTGCAAGTGATCAATGATGTTCGAGATTCTGCACAGATATTTATATCCTGAAAAACCCACAGACCAGCGACCTTTGCATGCTATCTTGAACATACACACTTTCTATGATTACATAATAATACTTTTATAGTTACAGTAAGCTCCATGTGGCCATGGATCGGTTACTAATTTTAAGGTTGAATAAAAACTGTTACATTTTGTAAGATAGCCTTACCTTTAGGCTATTTACTGTATTACAAAAGTATTATCGAATTGACAATGCAACCAAATTTTAAAACTTAAAGGAGATGTATCCAATGCTTGGATAGTTTCATCTGAGGCACTGGCTTAATCCTATTCTTTAACTTTTATTTTTGGTTTAGTTGGAGACGTGAATCCAACATATAATTTGTTAATTTGTCGACAAGTTAATAGGTTATTTAATGCATTGCAAAAGTGATATTGAATTGTGTTTAGTTGTCAACGCAACCAAATATCAACATTTGAAGGAGATGTATCTTCTGCTTGGATAGTTCCATCAGTGCCACTGACTTAGTCTGGCTTTAATTCCAGTTTGTCTACAAATTAATAATTGATATGTTGGATTCACGTATCCATTTCAACCAAAAATCTAAGTTGAAGAATAGACCTAAATCAACTTAAACTTTATTTAAAGTGCATTTAAAGTTTGATTTGATTTATTCCAATTTTTTATTTAGATTTTTGGTTGAGATAGAGACGTGAATCCAACATATCAATAATTGTTTTTTTGGTTTTTTTTACCCTACCACCGATCCCCAAATTGGAGTAAACTAATGGGCAACAACACTTAGGCTTCTTTTTCCATCTTATACATACTATATACATTTTACGGACACAGTATATTTTACAATAGTTATCTTTTGTTTGTTTTTAGTCCCACCCTTCAGCTACCCTCAACCCCTCCCATCTATCTCTGAAGATCCTCCAGTTTAGATTTCTATTTGCAATATATTTTGCTGTGATGTTTCACAAAAGTTCTGAACCTTTCTATTCTCATTGTTTCTACAGATTGTGAATTAAAGATAAACATTTTTGCTAAGAGTATTATTATATTATTGATCGATTGACTATTACTTTTTAAATCACCCAGCAGTGCTGTTTGCAGAGTTAGCTCCAGGTAAATGTTGCAATTCTTCAGCCATTCCTGAACCTACAACCAAAAACAAGCTACATATAGACAGTAGCAAAACAAACTATCAAATTATTCTGTCTATTTGCAGCTAAATCTGCAGAGCTGGGATGGTTGTATCCCCCATACAGTGCCTTGCAAAAGTAATAATATAATATGCCATTTAGCAGACGCTTTTATCCAAAGCGACTTAAAGTCATGCGTGCATACATTTTTACTTATGGGTGGTCCCAGGGATCAAACCCACTACCCTGGCATTACAAGCGCCATGATCTACCAATTGAGCTATAGAGGACCACGAACTATGAAATGTACATAAAAAATAAAAATAATTAGTCATTTAGCAGACGCTCTTATCCAGAGTGACTTACAGGAGCAATTAAGGTTAAGTGCCTTGCTCAAGGGCACAACAACAGATTTTTCACCTAGTCGGCTCGGGGATTAGAACCAACGACCTTTCTGTTACTGGCACAACGCTCTTAACCACTAAGCTACCTGCCGTATTCTTCCTATTTTGTTGCATTACAACCTCTAATTTAAATGGATATTTATTTGGATTTCATGTAATGGACATACACAAAATAGTCCAAATTGGTGAAGTGAAATGAAAAAAATTACTTGTTTCAAAAAATTATAAAAAATAAATAACGGAAAAGTGGTGCATGCATATGTATTCACCCCCTTTGCTATGAAGCCCCTAAATAAGATCTGGTACAACCAATTACCTTCAGAAGTCACATAATTAGTTAAATAAAGTCCACCTGTGTGCAATCTAAGTGCCACATGATCTGTCACATGATCTCAGTATATATACACCTGTTCTGAAAGGCCCCAGAGTCTGCAACACCACTAAGCAAGGGGCACCACCAAGCAAGTGGCACCATGAAGACCAAGGAGCTCTCCAAACAGATCAGGGACAAAGTTGTGGAGAAGTACAGATCAGGGTTGAAAGAATATGGCACCGGAAAAAACCTGACAAGAGAGGGCTGCCCACCAAAACTCACGGACCAGGCGAGGAGGGCATTAATCAGAGGCAACAAAGAGACAAAAGATAACCCTGAAGGAGCTGCAAAGCTCCACAGCAGAGATCGGAGTAGCTGTCCATAGGACCACTTTAAGCTGTACACTCCACAGAGCTGGGCTTTACAGAAGAGTGGCCAGAAGAAAGCCATTGCTTAAAGAAAAAAATAAGCGAACGTGTGGGTGGGACTCCCCAAACATATGGAAGAAGGTACTCTGGTCAGATGAGACTAAAATTGAGCTTTTTGGCCATCAAGGAAAACGCTATGTCTGGCGCAAACCCAACACCTCTCATCACCCCGAGAACACCATCCCCACAGTGAAGCATGGTGGTGGCAGCATCATGCTGTGGGGATGTTTTTCATCGTCAGGGACTGGGAAACTGGTCAGAATTGAAGGAATGATGGCACTAAATACAGGGAAATTCTTGAGGGAAACCTGTTTCAGTCTTCCAGAGATTTGAGACTGGGACGGATGTTCACCTTCCAGCAGGACAATGACCCTAAGCATACTGCTAAAGCAACACTCGAGTGGTTTAAGGGGAAACATTTAAATGTCTTGGAATGGCCTAGTCAAAGCCCAGACCTCAATCCAACTGAGAATCTGTGGTATGACTTAAAGATTGCTGTACACCAGCGGAACCCATCCAACTTGAAGGAGCTGGAGCAGTGACTAGATGTGCCAAGCTTATAGAGACATACCCCAAGAGACTTGCAGCTGTAATTGCTGCAAAAGGTGGCTCTACAAAGTATTGACTTTGGGCTGGTGAATAGTTATGCACGCTCAAGTTTTCTGTTTTTTTGTCTTATTTCTTGTTTCTTTCACAATTTTTTTTATTTTGCATCTTCAAAGTGGTAGGCATGTTGTGTAAATCAAATGATACAAACCCCCAAAAAATCAATTTGAATTCCAGGTTGTAAGGCAACAAAATAGGAAAAATGCCAAGGGGGGTGAATACTTTCGCAAGCCACTGTATGTATTTATATGTATGTATGTGTATATGTATGTGTATGTATGTATATGTATATATATATATATATATATATATATATGCGAGAAAGAAAAAAAACATATTGGGGTGTCATGACTTCTGCCGAGGCTGCCTCTCCTCCTTGTTCGGGCAGGCTTCAGCGTTTGTCAACATCGGCTTACTAGCCACTGCTGCTCCATATCTCATCATTCCATTTGTCTTGTCTTGTCAATTATACACACCTGATTCTTATCCCCTCATTAGTCTGTGTATAAGTGTTCCCTCTGCCCCCTTGTCCTTGTGGGTGATTGTTATTTGTGAGAGTAGTGTAGCTCGGTGGAGCTACTCTCCCTTTGTATTGCCGGGGTAGATATTTCCCCTGCGCCTGTATATTGTTGGAGTATCCCATACCATGTATTGCCAGGGTAGATAGTTTCCCCTGTGCCTGTTTTCGTGTGTCGCTATCCACCGCATTTGTGTACGACGGAATAAACTCTGTATTCGGTGATTTACCCTCCTGCGCCTGACTCCTTCTATCACACTCATCACAGGGGGATTGGAAGTGATGCAGAAAAAAAAGAAATGTAAAAAGAAAAATAAGAAACAAAGTATGGTCAAATTTCATTTGCTATGTTAAACCAACCCTTTGGAATGACTTTGATAGCAACAGTGAATCTATTTAGTTTTTAAGTGGAGATTTCACAAGTATCATTCTCATGATACCACTTTGGTAATAGTAAGTGACAAATATCATAGCTAAGCAGGGCTTGGTTAAAACCCTGGATGGGAAATCAAAGGGTAGCTGTAGATAAATCAATTATTCAGTAGGAGGTGCTGCCCAGCCTGCAGTTTTTTTTCTGATAGTTGATATTACATTGAAGATCTGATGTTGTTTTAAAGGTACAAATTCAACATATTTTATACAAGGTTTGTCTATGTAGAAATTTGGTTATCATGATGACATAATCCTTTGGTTGAAATCTCACCCTCAAAACAACAGTTTACCTTGATTACTTTTTTCAAATCCAATGTATTTTCCACATAGATTCCACATCACAATACGTTGACAAATTATGTTGAAACAATGTTGATAGAACCAGTTTGTGCCCAGTGGGCTGTGCCTTCGGGCACCATATTGCTATAACATATCATACGGTTAGCTTATATGTAAAATACCTATCCAGATCTGGCATGCTTCAACAATATAGTCAGGCAACGACGCACTCATTAGGGAGTAAACGTTATTTATAATAAGGGTTACATGGAGAAAATCGACCTCTCTGAAATGAAAATGGATGGCCCTCCCTTCAGAAAAATATATTTTATCTAAACCCTCCCTGAATGCTTGAAAAAAAAAACAAGTGACCCTCCTCTATACCCAAAATAATAATTAAAACAAAGTGGATAGCAGACTTTTAGAAACTGTTCGTCGTCCTGTAAGCATTACATGGCAACGCAGGAACTTTGATAGCGCACAGGGCTGCGAGCCAGAAGGTTGTCAGTTTTCAGACCACCGTGGACAAGAGTAGGGGTGGAAAGATCTCCTTTATAGTTAAAACATTGCATGAATCTGTACCAAGTTAGCTAGCTGAATAAACTAAGTTAGAGTCTATTCATAGAAAACATTGAACCGCTGTAGTTACAGCAATTATAATTTCTAAAGTGGAAGTTGGGAGAGTTATATTTGAGTGTTCAGTGAAACGTAAGTGAGGGAGGCCCGCTCTCTTGCTTTCCCAGATGTTTAGTTCATTTCATTCCGATCTCCTTTGCATTATTGTAGCCTTTTTCTGTAGCCTGTCAAGTATGTGTCTGTCTATCCCTGTTCTCTCCTCTCTGCACAGGCCATACAAACGCTTCACACCACGTGGCTGTTGCCACTCTAATCTGGTGGTCCCTGCGCGCACGACCCACGTGGAGTTCCAGGTCTCTGGGAGCCTCTGGAACTGCCGTTCTGCGGCCAACAAGGCAGAGTTCATCTCAGCCTATGCTACCCTCCAGTCCCTCGACTTCTTGGCGCTGACGGAAACATGGATTACCACAGAAAACACAGCTACTCCTACTGCTCTTTCCTAGTCTAACCATGTGTTCTCGCATACCCCGAGAGCATCTGGTCAGCGCGGCGGTGGTACAGGAATCTTCATCTCTCCCAAGTGGACATTCTCTATTTTTCCCCTGACCCATCTGTCTATCTCCTCATTTGAATTCCATGCTGTCACAGTCACTAGCCCATTCAAGCTTAACATCCTTGTCAATTATCGCCCTCCAGGTTCCCTTGGAGAGTTCATAAATGAGCTTGACAAGTTCATTTCCTGAGGATGGCTCACCCCTTACAGTTCTGGGTGACTTTAACCTCCCTACGTCTGCCTTTGACTCATTTCTCTCTGCCTCCTTCTTTCCACTCCTTTCCTCTTTTGACCTCACCCTCTCACCGTCCCCCCCCCTACTCACAAGGCAGGCAATACGCTTGACCTCATCTTTACTAGATGCTGTTCTTCTACTAATCTCACTGCAACTCCCCTCCAAGTCTCCGACCACTACTTTGTATCCTTTTCTCTCTCGCTCTCCTCCAACACTACTCACTCTGCCCCTACTCAGATGGTAATGTGCCGTCGCAACCTTTGCTCTCTCTCACCGGCTACTCTCTCCTCTTCCATCCTATCATCTCTTCCCTCTGCTAAATCCTTCTCCCTCCGATCTCCTGATTCTGCCTCCTCAACCCTCCTCTCCTCCCTTTCTGCATCTTCTGACTCTCTATGTCCCCTATCCTCCCGGCCGGCTCGGTCCTCCCCTCCTGCTCCGTGGCTTGACGACTCATTGCGAGCTCACAGAAGAGGGCTCCGGGCAGCCGAGCGGAAATGGAGGAAAACTAGACTCCCTGCGGACCTGTCATCTTTTCACTCCCTCCTCTCTACATTCTCTTCCTCTGTTTCCGCTGCCAAAGACACTTTCTACCACTCTAAATTTCAAGCCTCTGCCTCTAACCCTAGGAAGCTCTTTGCCATCTTCTCCTCCCTGCTGAATCCTCCTCCTCCTCCCCCTCCCTCCTCCCTCTCTGTGGATGACTTCATCAACCATTTTGAAAAGAAGGTTGATGACATCCGATCCTCATTTATTAAGTCAAATGACACTGCTGGTCCTGCTCACACTGCCCTACCCTATGCTTTGACTTCTTTCTCCCCTCTCTCTCCAGATGAAATCTTGTGACTTGTGACAGCCGGCCGCCCAACAACCTGCCCGCTTGACCCTATCCCCTCCTCTCTTCTCCAGACCATTTCCGGAGACCTTCTCCCTTACCTCACCTCGCTCATCAACTCATCCTTGACCGCTGGCCATGTCCCTTCCGTCTTCAAGAGAGCGAGAGTTGCACCCCTCCTCAAAAAACCTACACTCGATCCCTCCGATGTCAACAACTACAGACCAGTATCCCTTCTTTCTTTTCTCTCCAAAACTCTTGAGCGTGCCGTCTCTAGCCAACTCTCCTGCTATCTCTCTCAGAATGACCTTCTTGATCCAAACCAGTCAGGTTTCAAGACTGGTCATTCAACTGAGACTGCTCTTCTCTGTGTCACGGAGGCTCTCCGCACTGCTAAAGCTAACTCTCTCTCCTTTGCTCTTATCCTTCTAGACCTATCCGCTGCCTTTGATACTGTGAACCATCAGATCCTCCTCTCCACCCTCTCCGAGTTGGGCATCTCCAGCGCTGCTCACTCTTGGATTGCGTCCTACCTGACAGGTCGCTCCTACCAGGTGGCGTGCTCTCACCACTGGTGTCCCCCAGGGCTCAGTTCTAGGCCCTCTCCTATTCTCTCTATACACCAAGTCACTTGGCTCTGTCATATCCTCACATGGTCTCTCCTATCATTGCTACGCAGACGACACACAATTCATTTTCTCCTTTCCCCCTTCTGATAACCAGGTGGCGAATCGCATCTCGGCCTTTCTGGCAGACATATCAGTGTGGATGTCGGATCACCACCTCAAGCTGAATCTCGGCAAGACGGAGCTGCTCTTCCTCCCGGGGAAGGACTGCCCGCTCCATGATCTCGCCATCATGGTTGACAACTCCATTGTGTCCTCCTCCCAAAGTGCAAAGAACCTTGGCGTGACCCTGGACAACACCTTGTCGTTCTCCGCCTATATCAAAGCGGTGACCCGATCCTGCAGGTTCATGCTCTACAACATTCGCAGAGTACGACCCTACCTTACACAGAAAGCGGCACAGGTCCTAATCCAGGCACTTTTCATCTCCCGTCTGGATTACTGCAACTCGCTGTTAGCTGGGCTCCCTGCCTGTGCCATTAAACCCCTACAACTCATCCAGAATGCCGCAGCCCGTCTGGTGTTCAACCTTCCCAAGTTCTCTCACGTCACCCCCCTCCTCCGCACACTCCACTGGCTTCCAGTTGAGGCTCGCATCTACTACAAGACCATGGTGCTTGCCTACGGAGCTGTGAGGGGAATGGCACCTCCTTACCTTCAGGCTCTGATCAGACCCTACACCCAAACGAGGGCACTGCGTTCATCCACCTCTGGCCTGCTAGCTCCCCTACCTCTACGGAAGCACAGTTCCCGCTCAGCCCAGTCAAAGCTATTTGCTGCTCTTGCACCCCAATGGTGGAACAAGCTCCCCCATGACGCCAGGACAGTGGAGTCACTGACCACCTTCCGGAGACACTTGAAACCCTACCTCTTTAAGGAATACCTGGAATAGTATAAAGTAATCCTTCTACCCCCCCCCCCCCCCCCCCCATTAAAAAGAAAAGAAAAAAAAGAAGTGGTTGTCCCACTGGCTATCATAAGTTGAATGCACCAATTTGTAAGTCTGCTAAATGATGTAAATGTAAATGTAAATTAATCTAGCATCGTATTTGCAGGTCTGAGAAAATTCTACGTCATTTTACTTATTAGCTTAATCTTTTTTAATAACACACAAATTACCCAAATTACAGGCTTAGAATGGACAGAGAGATAGGCCTATGTGTTAAATCTTATATTTCTCCAATGCCAAATCAGTGTCTTATTTGCAATGAAAATAATTACATCTGAGACATCATTAGGAATCTGAGCATGGTACTTTCAAAAGTTAGGCCTAACTTTCCACCCCAGACAAGGTAGGCCTACCGACACAGAAATATGTAAGATTTAACTGCCTGCTACTCTTCTTCTGTGGTTTAACCTAACAAGAGAAGGTCACAAGTGTTTCTCTAAAAGCTGTCTGGGTTTAAACATCTTCTATTGTACAGAAAGGGAACAGCTTAATCAATTGATAGTGACACAATGAGATGACTTCCCAAGCAAAGACAATGTTTTGTCTCCTGGGCTATAGAAGGTTGTAGCTTAGCCTCTGAATGTCAAAGAAACTAAACAATGATATTCCCATATACAGTACTATGAAAAAGTATTTGCCCCCTTTCTAATTTTCTCTACTTTTGCATATTTGTGATACTGAATGTTATCAGATCTTCAACCAAAACCTAATATTAAGGGAACATAAGTGAACAAATAACACAACAATTACACATTTATTTCATAAAGTTATGCAACACCCAATTCCCCTGTGTGAAAAATATTTGCCCCCTTACACTCAATAACTGGTTGTGCCACCTTTAGCTGCAATGACTCCAACCAAATTTTGTTTGGTTTTTGCCAGGCATTACTGGAACCATGTCGTCCAAAAAGTTATACTTTTGAATCATCTGTCCATAGAACGTTCTTCCAAGAGTCTTGATGATCATCCAGGTGCTTTTTGGCAAACTTGAGTCAACTTTTTGGACGAGATGGGTCCCATTATGCCTGACGAAAACCAAACACTGCATTCCACAGTAAGAACATCATACCAAAGGTCAAGCATGGTGGTGGTGGTGTGATGGTTTGGGGATGCATTGCTGCCTCAGGACCTGGACGACTTGCCTTAATAGAAGGAACCATTAATTCTGCTCTGTATCAGAGAATTCTACAGGAGAATGTCAGACCATCCGTCTGTGAGCTGAAGCTGAAGCGCAGCTGGGTCATGCAGCAAGACAATGATCCAAAACACACAATCAAGTCTACATGAAAATTGCTAAAAAGCAACAAATTGGAAGTTTTGGAATGGCCTAGTCAAAGTCCAGACCTAATCCCAATTGAGATGTTGTGGCAGGACTTGAAACGAGCAGTTCATGCTTGAAAACCCACACGTCACTGAGTTAAAGCAGTTCTGCATGGAAGAGTGGGCCAACATTTTTCATAGCACTGTACATCAGAGTCACGTCTTTCCCAGGTATTTTACAGCTTGTTTCTAGCGTAAAGCATTGCGGACCAAAGCGCTGTCATAGATCACTTTATATAATCAGATCTGTTTTATTTTCTTCAAAATCTTAAGATAACAATGGGTAGGTAGGCCTTTGCTTTTTGCCATTTTCTTTAATAAAAGGTAGGCCTATGGCATACCCTCTCTTACCCTCTCACAGCCCCTCAATTCGAGTATTGGTTTTAACTTAACAGTTTTTCACTGACACGGAGGTAGGCTATTTAAAGAGTGCATGGTGGGTGGAGGAATTGACCAACAAATCTATGGATATAACAGCCTATAGCCTAATTTTGTCTGTCAAACAGGTAGGCCTACCTCTTATTTCTTAAATAGGAAGAGTTAGGCTCCAACACAAGTAAATTAAGCCTACTCGAATTTACCTACTTTCAGCACCACAAGTTGTCTATTCCCGATTGATTGCACAGCAGCTGCGGTTCCAGTTTCAGCACCACAATGTAAATTACTTGAATCTGGTTTATTGTGAGGTCAATAACTCTGATAAATACATAATGGACAAGAAACATATTGTTTTTAATCAAATAAATTCTAGTAGTAGCAAGCTATCAAAGTTGACCTCCGGTCATCCTTTTCGCGCTCTCCTTCTCAAACTGAACAGAACATAGGCTATAGGGTAGTCGGCACGCCATTTTTTTTTGACAAGGCCTAATCCCCCAAAATGTTTTTGACTAGGCCTAATCAAAAAAACAAATCAGACGAAGCCTTTGACTCTCCTCCTGAACTGCCACCATAGGTCTACACAGCACAGCCATTGGTTAGGCAGCACACAAAAACGTTTTGATCAGCAAGAGAAGAGCAGGCTGGAATCAGGTTTGGAATATCCATTGCAGTGTATAATGCAGCCTAGTTGTATTTACACCATCCCAGCAGCTATCTTAGAAATATAACTTTGCTCTGTGCTTCCCTGTTTTTGTAGGGGTGGGTAAGACACTCAAATGACCATTTCCTCTTTTACTGGCCACAATCAGCTTGGTGGCTGGGTGTAACATCGGGAAGATGCAGCAGGAAATTGAGACAGCAATTGCCCAAGGATGCCGGGGGATGGGTGGGCAGAATTAGAGAGCGAACTGAGATTGGTCTGCAGCATAAATTGAGGAGGAAGATACTTTCTAACCAAGGAAGTAATCAGATTACATTATTCATTTCGAGTTATCCAATGGAGTGTGTTAGTAATTGCTTTTATTGTCATGTAATCTGTAATCAGTAACTGATTTCTAAAAACGGTCCAACCCTGCCACCCCTAAAATCTTAAAACCGTCACGATATCATTGAAGGCAATCGGCATGAAGTGGTTTACCCTTGTGAAACACAAAACTGGGCCATTGTTCTAAAACAGTTTTATGTTAATGGGCCTTCCAGCTGCCCTGTTTCTAAACCAGCAGACTGGAAAAAACTCATTTCTATACCTTTTAAACTAATTTGTGAATGATTATGTAGGCTGATTCAAATGTAGCATTTGATTTAACAGAATGAACAGCTGGAGGAAGTAGGGAAAAAGGTGCCAAGTGGAGATCTTTCTCCAATTCCACATGATTAAACTCCACACAGATTTGTGAAAACTTCACAAGTCTACACAATCAACTAAAGCATGAGTCCAATTAAAGAAACAGCCAGACAGGAGAAATAATGACACGTTTGTATAGTATAACACATAAGCAAGAAAAAACAAACATTTATCAACAAAAATATTCATTGGTGGAAGGAGCTTATACTAACTCGTCATTAATTATCTCTTTTTATTCACCATAACTTTTCTTAGTGATTTATTTTCCTTTGTTTTAGTCCTAATGGTCCACTCTCCTTGACATGCCTTTTCATGTGAGCACTAAGCCGTTCATTTCCAGCAGAGAATGTGCTGCACAGCAGTGCATAATTTATAGGTTTAGAAATGAGAAGAGATGAAACCTTAGAGGATGCAAGGCCTCTTTGATGCATAAATATCTGTCCCCAGTCGCACCATATGACAAGCTTCTTTGAACCTGCATGAATTTGTTATTATTAGAAGACAGAGAACTTCATCAGTCATCCGTTTCATTTGGATCCTATCATTTTCTCTCCAGGTGGGATCAGTTCAGTCATCATGAAACACAGTACAGAATGGTCCCATGTGCTCTTCAAGAAGGTAAGATATTATCAGCAGTTTGACTGGAATTCAGTTAAACCTGCCAAAGCAATGTTTGTGCACTGTCTTTGTTTATAAACTTCTGTCCAGAAACACATACTTCTTATTCTGATATCTGGAAGCATCTACCAGTGCGGTTTTATTTGACCATGGGGAAAAGAGCTACTGTGAAAATACCACAATGCGGGTTTGATTGAATTGAGCCCTTTGAGTAACATCAAAAAGGCTCTGAAAAGGGACACTGCAGATAAAGGTCAAACATGAATACTGAAACAGACACTTTACAGTGATGGTTTTGAAACAATTACCTGGAGTAACTGAACCATGTCTAAGCTCAGCCTGTGAATATCCTGCATCCCTCTGACAAGCCTTCTAATCAGGGAACTAAAGCAAATGTGTTCCATTCAGGTGTGTAATCACCCCCATGGCTGATTTATCATGTTAGGAGGAGAGTTGTGGAGGTGGGCTTGATAGGTGGTTCGAGGTACGTCTTTCTTTTCTTGGCCTGTCATTACATCTGTCTGTCAGCCTTTAAGTTACGGTAACATCAAGCACACACGGCGCTGTTGCCCACATCCAACACCAATGACATCATCCTCCGAGAGGAGCAAAAAACAAGGGGAGAGCAGCTCCCGTCCTGACATGTCTCCATCCTCGTGCCATAAATCGGTGGCCGTCGCTGTCGTACAGTTCACCTTGTGTGTTAATGAAAACGAATGGCTCATTCCCGCTTTCCCTTTCCAGGCATGCCACTGATTTACAGTATAGGTGGGGTGTCCACAGTCACACAAAAGGAATGAATGGATGCTCTCTGAGAGTGAGGGTTGGTACACGTGACAGACTCCATCCAGGTAAGCTATATTGAGATGATCATATGCACATGTGAGTGAATAAGCCAACACGTTACATAAGCTTAGCAGATATGTTGAAGCCATGATGTTTATAGCTTTGACATCTGCCATCATATCTACAAGTCAGAGATGACTCCATCTTGTAAATAAAACACATCACCCTGTCCTAGTTGCACTGCTTGGCCTGTCCAACAGCAGCTGTCGATGACATAACAGGGAAGAGGGGCTTCCCCTATCAGTATGACTTCATTTCCATGGCCAGCTGAAGCATATTGAAGAAGACAGTGTTTCAACAGCTATTTATCCTAATCTCCCTGACAGTGTGACTGATAGTGATAGCAGGACAGATAGCAGGACATGTGTGATCCATCCGTCTCTCTGGAGTCTGAACTCTTGACTGGGCTGTGGTTTGTGGACAGGAGCCCTAAGGGCCATCCAGACTACACTGTCTTTGATGGTTTCCCTCTCTAACCTCCAATCCCATTGCATTTCCATGTGGTTGGATGGACGACCAGACCAGTATGCGGCACAGACACACACTGAAGTGTGCCATCGCCTCGTCCCGCCTCCTGGGGCTCTGCAGTTCCTGATTGGCTCTGGTGATCAGAATGAGCCCCATAAGGTTAGAATTTACAGGTTTGCAACCAATGTTATATAAGGAGTCTGGTTTAGGGTCTGGTTGTGGATGCTTTACTCAGAATTCTGTCAAATATTTATGTGAAAAATGTAAATAAATACAACTAATTTGATTTTGATTTACGTTGAAACAGACTAAAATAGATAGAGCTGTTGAATGTGATTATTTCCCTATATATAGAGTAATGGTAAGATATGCAGCACACCCTCACCAGACCTCTAATTTACTCTAACTTGAGGAGCCATTTCCTGTTGGTGTTCTATGGGTAATATATCACAGCCAGTCATCACAAGTCAACAGGCAGGACATTATCTAATTCCATGCCTTTGCAAATCCATCCAAATCCAGATTTTGCATTTTGTGGACAACATAACACCAAATACCACGGGACAAAACTTGTCCAATTCTTCACGGTTGGATTTGCAAGCTGCAGTTAAAACAGTCTCATTTATATGCAGCCATGCAGACTGGAATGTTACTGTATAGAAATAACAGTTTTTATTTCCTACAGTATTAGAGAGTTTCCTTTTCATTATTGCCTTTATGCTAACAGGGCCCCATTTTTCATGATATACTGAAGATTACATGTATATTTCATATGTTTACAAACCCAATTAGTTATACTGCAATAACTTTACCAAATATAAAACGCACACACACACACACACACACACTCCAGAGGGTTGCATTTCAGGGAGCTGTCCATCTGTGGTTATGCCGGTGACCCTCTAATCTTATGTGGCCCAATGCAAATGTTTTACTGCCAAATCACAACACATCAATGAAGAATAATAAAGTATATAGTCTCATCTTTAGCCATGAGAACAGATTTATGGTTGGTTGGAAATAGCTGCAAGTCATTGGTCTTAACCATAATTGCAATGACTGTACTGCAGATGGATACAAGTGGCAGAGCCGTTATTCAGTTGTAATTTATCACCAATCAAATGCTTCTTATAGGTCTTGTTGATTTGGTTTCTGCATATGGGCATGTCGGCTTAGTATTTTTAATTATGAGTGGTTTTGCGGATCCGTTTGCCGGTTTACGGCAAGGATATGTTGCAATAATGAGATATGCCTTAATTCCTGGAAATGACCTGGAAACCCCCCTAGATTGGCTAGAGAGTCAACCACCTCCAAGCCCATCCTGACAGCAGTGGTAGAGATGAACCCAGGTCTGGAATTCACACTCCTTTTCATCCTCACCTAAATTACATATCTGCCTAGTTCACTCCCAGATGCTACAGTATGTGTTGTGACAGTACATGTTGCTCTATCTCTTTTTTTTTTACCACATTTTTTGTTGTTGGGGGGTTTACAGGTACAATATCAATTTCAATTCATATATTCGGTTTATATAACATGTAACCGTGGGCTGCCACGCAAAAGAAAAACAAAAGTAAGAAATACATAGAGAAATTATCATATTGAACAAGCAGGATTTTGTAATAGTAAAACTGCTATGTAAAGAAAAAGAAACAAAACAAGGTAGGCCTACATCTCCAACTCCCCATCCCATTCCCCCCAGCCCAACATGTCTCAGTCCAGCCCCCTGCATCTAAGCATTTAACTGCAGGGCACTCCCACATCCTATGAAGGAATGTGCCTACCTGATTTAGGAGACACAGTGAACAGTTGGGAGTTGGGGCCAATTTCATTGTAAAACTTTTCCTTGGTGTTAAATACAGTCTGTGAACAAACTTAAAATGTGTAGGTTAATGGTTCGCATTATGAGACGCCAAGGTCATATTTCTCCATATTGTGTTCCAGTTAAAGGGTTGTTCAGATTCACTTAGGTCTGTGGACCATACTTGTTTAATGGCTAGCTCAGAATATGAGCTTTCCAAAAGTTGTTTATATATGATAGAGATCAGTCCTTTCAGGCGCCCAGATAATGTATTTATAAATCCCATAATTGGATGGTTCGGTAGTTGGGTTTCCCAAGGGACTCCATAGGCCAGCATAGGTGACCTAAAAGGAGTTGCCTGTCCATGATATTGGCATGGGTACGGATTCCTCATTTGGATCACTGGGGGGATGCAAAAGGCCGCCCTCCAGATCGCAAGGCGTTATTGTGAAGTAATGGAGTATGAGTATGCCATTTTGATTTCCAGTTAAATTGTTTTTCAATTTTATGTCAAATAGAAATTGTGTGAGCAATAATAGGACCAAAGCGTAGTTTACATTGTTTAAGGGATATATCAATGAAGACCACCTCTTCCAGGGCAATAGGAGACACCATATTTCTCTCTATACTCAGCCAGGGGGCGGAATAATCATGTTTAAACTAATTTAAGATGGGGCAAAATGCTAGTTCCTAGAAATACAATTGGTATGGATAGTCCTCCTACGTCTTTCCCTCTTAGTAAGTTTGTTAATTTTATACGGGATCGATTACCTTGCCATATACAATTTTAAACCGCACTATGAATTTTATCCCAATAGCCAGAAGGGGGAGATATGGGAAGCATTGAACTACAGAAATTCAGCCGTTGCAATATATTCATTTTGACAATAGATATTCTGCCAGTTAAAGCAACTGGGATTTTAGTCCATCTACTGAGGTCAAATTGAATTGATTTGAGCATTCTGTTAAAGTTTCTGGCAATGGTTTTATCTAAGGAAGGAAATATATCTACTCCCAAATATTTAAAAGGGGAAACAATTGGGATTCCATAAGTAGAGATGGAGTCCTCGTTCGGGGTCTTGAGAGGCAGTAGGGCTGATTTGGTTAGATTAATTTTATAACTTGAGATGAAGCTGAATTTATCTATGATCTTCAATGCGTTTGGGATCGATTGAGATACATTGTGTAGATATATTAAAATATTGTCTGCGTATAATAATATTAGGGAAATTGGTGTTATTTCATTCGATTTACGAATTCCCTGGGCCAGGGGTTCCATGGAAAATAATAATAGCAAAGGAGATCACCTTAAATTGGATCACCTTATCTGCTGCTTGAATCTGAACAGAGCAGATATTGCCTGTTATAACAATGGCTGAGGGATTGGCATATAGTATTTTAATCGTATTAATACAATTGGAGCCAATTCCCATATGTTCCAAGACAGACCAGTGATATGACCATTCTAGTCTATCAAAAGCTTTTTCTGCATCGAGAGATAAATCAGCCCAAGGAGCTGTTGTTTCTGATGAAGCATGTAAGATACAGTGGGGGAAAAAAGTATTTAGTCAGCCAACAATTGTGCAAGTTCTCCCACTTAAAAAAAGGGGCGGCAGGTAGCTTAGTGGTTAAGAGCGTTGTGCCAGTAACCGAAAGGTCGCTGGTTCTAATCCCCGAGCCAACTAGGTGAAAAATCTGTCGATGTGCCCTTGAGCAAGGCACTTAACCCTAATTGCTCCTGTAAGTCGCTCTGGATAAGAGTGTCTGCTAAATGATTAAAATGTAAATGTAAATGTAAAAAGATGAGAGAGGCCTGTAATTTTCATCATAGTACACGTCAACTATGACAGACAAAATGAGAAGAAAAAAATCCAGAAATTCACATTGTAGGATTTTTTATGAATTTATTTGCAAATTATGGTGGAAAATAAGTATTTGGTCACCTACAACAAGCAAGATGTCTGGCTCTCACAGACCTCCACTGTCCTCCACTCGTTACCTGTATTAATGGCACCTGTTTGAACTTGTTATCAGTATAAAAGACACCTGTCCACAACCTCAAACAGTCACACTCCAAACTCCACTATGGCCAAGACCAAAGAGCTGTCAAAGGACACCAGAAACAAAATTGTAGACCTGCACCAGGCTGGGAAGACTGAATCTGCAATAGGTAAGCAGCTTGGTTTGAAGAAATCCACTGTGGGAGCAATTATTAGGAAATGGAAGACATACAAGACCACTGGTAATCTCCCTCAATCTGGGGCTCCACGCAAGATCTCACCCCGTGGGGTCAAAATGATCACAAGAACGGTGAGCAAAAATCCCAGAACCACACGGGGGACCTAGTGAATGACCTGCAGAGAGCTGGGACCAAAGTAACAAAGCCTACCATCAGTAACACACTACGCCGCCAGGGACTCAAATCCTGCAGTGCCAGACGTGTCCCCCTGCTTAAGCCAGTACATGTCCAGGCCCGTCTGAAGTTTGCTAGAGTGCATTTGGATGATCCAGAAGAGGATTGGGAGAATGTCATATGGTCAGAAGAAACCAAAATATAAATTTTTGGTAAAAACACAACTCGTCGTGTTTGGAGGACAAAGAATGCTGAGTTGCATCCAAAGTACACCATACCTACTGTGAAGCATGGGGGTGGAAACATCATGCTTTGGGGCTGTTTTTCTGCAAAGGAACCAGGACGACTGATCCGTGTAAAGGAAAGAATGAATGGGGCCATGTATCGTGAGATTTTGAGTGAAAACCTCCTTCCATCAGCAAGGGCATTGAAGATGAAACGTGGCTGGGTCTTTCAGCATGACAATGATCCCAAACACACCGCCCGGGCAACGAAGGAGTGACTTCGTAAGATGCATTTCAAGGTCCTGGAGTGGCCTAGCCAGTCTCCAGATCTCAACCCCATAGAAAATCTTTGGAGGGAGTTGAAAGTCTGTGTTGCCCAGCGACAGCCCCAAAACATCACTGCTCTAGAGGAGATCTGCATGGAGGAATGGGCCAAAATACCAGCAACAGTGTGTGAAGACTTACAGAAAACGTTTGACCTGTGTCATTGCCAAAAAAGGGTATATAACAAAGTATTGAGAAACTTTTGTTATTGACCAAATACTTATTTTCCACCATAATTTGCAAATAAATTCATTAAAAATCCTACAATGTGATTTTCTGGAATTTTTTTTCTCATTTTGTCTGTCATAGTTGACGTGTACCTATGATGAAAATTACAGGCCTCTCTCATCTTTTTAAGTGGGAGAACTTGCACAATTGGTGGCTGACTAAATACTTTTTTTCCCTACTGTATGTAATAGTCGATGGAGGTTATCTGAGGATAAAAGTTTATTAACAAACCAACTTTGGTCCGTGTGGACCAATTTGGGTAACTAAGTCTCGAGACGGGACAACAACATTTTGGAAAATAGATTAATATCTGTGTTTATCATCATCTTTACCTTTTTTTAATAAAAGTGAAATTACTGCTGTATTCACATCTCTCCCAAATGAACCTTTGTGAATGGCTGTGTTAATTATTTCAAGCAATAGTGGACCTCAAATAGACCTCAGGAGGAATACTGTCCCATCCAAGTGATTTGCCTTATTCATGCTATCCAATGCCCTTTTGAGTTCATTGAGAGAGATTTTGGCTCCCAGCGAGGCAGCTTCCTCTGTTGAGAGAAGAGGAGTTCTTAATTCTTTTAGAAATGACTTTGTCTGGCTTGGTGTGGATTTACAATCAGAGGTGTACAGTTCTTTATAGAAGCGGGAGAATCTTTGATTGATTAATTTGGGTTCTGATAGTAATTCCCCTGTTTCAGATTCAATAGTTGTTATATCAGCTAATTGATCATTACTGTGTAGCTTGTTGGCCAGTAAAAGATTGGGACAAATTACCATGGAAGTAATGGTTGAATCTAACTCGATGGATGGCAAATTCTGCTCTCTGTCTTATCAACATGCTGTCTTGACTTCGGAAAGAGTAATAATTCACCCCCTTTGCTATGAAGCCCCTAAATAAGATCTGGTGCAACCAATTACCTTCAGAAGTCACATAATTAGTTAAATAAAGTCCACATGTGTGCAATCTAAGTGTCACATGATCTGTCACATGATCTCAGTATATATACACCTGTTCTGAAAGGCCCCAGAGTCTGCAACACCACTAAGCAAGGGGCACCACCAAGCAAGCGGCAACATGAAGACCAAGGAGCTCTCCAAACAGGTCAGGGACAAAGTTGTGGAGAAGTACAGATCAGGGTTGGGTTATAAAAAAATATCAGAAACTTTGAACATCCCACGGAGCACCATTAAATCCATTATTTAAAAAATGGAAAGAATATGGCACCACAACAAACCTGGTCCTTAGGACCACTTTAAGCCATACACTCCACAGAGCTGGGCTTTACGGAAGAGTGGCCAGAAAAAAGCCATTGCTAAAATAAAAAATAAGCAAACACGTTTGGTGTTCGCCAAAAGGCATGTGGGAGACTCCCCAAACATATGGAAGAAGGTACTCTGGTCAGATGAGACTAAAATTGAGCTTTTTGGCCATCAAGGAAAACTCTATGTCTGGTGCAAACCCAACACCTCTCATCACCCCGAGAACACCATCCCCACAATGAAGCATGGTGATGCAGCTAACAAAAACATATGGAAATGTCTGCTCTACCCAAAATTACAACCAAATAATTGCAGCCTTACTGCAAAATGGAAGAGGAAAGTGGAAGGGGGAGAAAGTAAGGAACTTGTCTGTCGGCCTTGCATTAAATAACATAATTGGTTAAGGAAAACTGTGATAAATAAAAAAGTATATCAGTTTCATTTAAGGACCAAAGGATTGACAGCCGTCCCATATAGATTACAAAATAGTTGGGAAGAGATTTTTGACGTACCGATCCCATGGCATAGTGTTTATGAACTGATACGCAAAACGACACCGGATTCAAAACTTAGAATCTTTCAATTTAAATTATTATATAAAATTCTTGCTACCAATAGAATGTTATCTATATGGGGGATACAATCTTCCCAGCTCCGCAGATTTTGCTGCGAAGAGACAGAATCATTAGATCATTTGTTTTGGTACTGTCCATTTGTAGCTTGTTTTTGGACACGGGTCCAGGAATGGCTAAAGGATTGCAATATTTACCTGGAGCTAACCTTGCAGATAGCATTACTGGGTGATCTGAAAAGTCATAGTCAATCGATCAATAACATAATAATACTTTTAGCAAAATGTTTATTTTCAATTCACAATCTGTAGAAACAATGAGAATAGAAAGGTTCAGAACTTTTGTAAGACATCACAGTACAGTTGAAATATATATGGCAAATAGAAATCCTATATGGATGGTGTTAAAAGATAGATGGGAGGTGTTGAATGGAATTGAACGATGGGACTAATAACAACTAACAACAAATAATAACAAGATAACTAATAATGTAAGCCTACTGTGTCCATAATAAGTATATAGGTTGTAGGTTGGGAGCTCTTGTGAAAGAGCACAGTTAGAAAGATATGGCATATAGAAGCAAACCGGATGGACATCATGAAAATGATCGGAGAGGTTGAGAGTAGAAGAAGTTCAGGAGAAAAAACAAACAAAATATAATTATTGTAAAATTGACTGTGTCCATAAAATGTAGATAGTAAATATAAGCTGGAAGTATAGGCCTAAGCATTGTTGTTCACTAGTTTACTCCAAGTAGGGAAAGGGTGGCGGGGTTGGAAAGTAATAAAGGGGAATATATATATATTTTTAAAGGATTTGTATGTGTATGTACAGTGGGGGAAAAAAGTATTTAGTCAGCCACCAATTGTGCAAGTTCTCCCACTTAAAAAGATGAGAGAGGCCTGTAATTTTCATCATAGGTACACGTCAACTATGACAGACAAATTGAGAAAGAAAAATCCAGAAAATCACATTGTAGGATTTTTTAATGAATTTATTTGCAAATTATGGTGGAAAATTTTAATTCCAGGTTATAAGGCAATGTCACGTTCGTTTAAGGACGGGTCAGACCAAGGCGCAGCGTGAAATGCGTACATGTTTATTTCACCGATAAACACACAAACAAAACAACAAACCAACGACACGTGAAGTCCTAATGCTAAACACAAAACAAGCCTCCACACGGAACAAGATCCCACAACTAATGAGTGCCAATAGGCTGCCTATGTATGATCCCCAATCAGAGACAACGAGCGACAGCTGTCTCTGATTGGGAATCACACCCGGCCAAACACAGAACTACAACACCTAGAATGCAACACAGAAATACTAACATAGAATATCCACACCCTGACTCAACATACAAGAGTCCCATGAGTCAGGGCGTGACAGGCAACAAAATAGGAAAAATGCCAAGGGGGGTGAATACTTTCGCAAGCCACTGTATGTACAAAAAAATAAGATGGTATGTGGAAGAAATGCAGTCTATAATCTAGATCTCACAATACTTAATCGTGGCCTGTAGGCCAAGTCCTCCCTGGGAGATAGATTTAGTAGCGTAAACGGAGGGGGACAGCCATTAACATGAAGTGAATTGTATGGTAGCCCATATGGGACTGGCCATCTATCCAATAATACAATGAAAATAGTAGGGGAACAGCTTCCAATTTATATTGCCATATTTAGCCCTTAAGAATGCAATGCGCTGAAGCCCTACAAGGAAGCAGACCCAGTCTCTATACACTTCAATATATTGTCCATTGCTCAATAATTGGTGTGGTGTCATCATTGGCTAAATGTCCTGGACCATAAACGATACAATAATAGTAATGTCCAAATGTGCAGTAATAATAATAATAATAATAATAATAATAACAACAACAATAATAGTGTTCCTTTTACCCAATTGAGGGGGTGTCCATATCATTGCCTTATGCTGAGGGCAGCATCATAGCCATAGGCTAGGCTGCATGATTGTGTATGGATAGCCTACCTGAATACTGAGCCAGTGTTGCTCTATCTCTGACACAAATACTGAGGGTGACAATTACAGCAAAGTGGCCACTGAAAATGATCCAAAATGGACTTGAACTTTTGTACACATCTGACATTTTCCCACGCCTGTTTAACAAATCGATCCCAAAATGGCTTCAGCTTGGTTGAGTAGGGTAAGTGGGTTCCCTAATGAGCAGGAGGAGTGAGTGTGAAGGTGTAGTCTTGCTGAGCTGCAGTGATTACTGGTTGGATTGGGAGGCCCAGTGCCTCATGGGAGAAGAGTAATCAAAGCGGCTCATGAGGGAGCAGCGAGTAGCGTCTGGCAATCAGGCTACAACAGAGGTCTCATTCATCACTTCCGTATTATGCCCTTTTCAAGTACAACCCCCAAGACATCCTACGCCACCACGACCATGACCACCACGGAGTGCCTAGAAACCCCAATACCATGTAGTCGGTAGAGGGAGGGACGTAGCCCAGACTCTAGACGGAGCAGGGTAGTTATCGACTCTAACAGAAAGAAAAAACATTTACCTTGGGCCGCTTTTCAATAGAAACCAGGCCCGTTTATGTGTAGTGAACATTTGTTTGTTTTTGCAGTGCATGCTTTCTCCTTTCCTCTCCCAACGACTCTGGCATGCTGCCCTAATGGGGGTTGATAACAGGCATTACTCAGGGATCTTATCGACTGAGTCTCTTCCTGTCCTTAAGGATGTCACCATGCTGGAACCTCTTTCCCTTCACCCAGTGACCATGACTTCTGACCCTTGACAATGTCAGTTTGACCCAGGGGGCTGGACAGTAACCAGGCCAGTCATCTCTGTCTCCACTGCCACTGGAATGTGCTGCTCCAAATGGAACAGAGATACTCAGAGTATGCTGGACAGACATGGATGTGAATGAACTTAGACTCTCTCAGTCAGCCTACTGTGAAGCAACAGTAATCTACCATTTCATTCTTGGATGATACCCTAATATTCGGATATGCAGCTTGGAAAACAGCTGAGGGCATCTGTCAAGACAAATCTTTGTGTTGCACTGCATCCAAGGCAGCCTGGGGGATATTAACTCAGAGCCACTCACAAGGCATACTGGAGAAGTTGACCTTGGCCTTGCCTTTATAAACAAATCGCGTGAATGGTAAACACCAACGGCAATGATGACCTGGCATATTTCTTTCTTCTCGCTCTCGTGAGTCCTCGCTGCATGGAATGTACATGATAGGTACCTCTCATGCTAACTCCCAAAGAAACACCCCATACAGCTAATACATACACTATACATTCCTATGGAGACCAAGTGCTGAAAGCAGAGAAAAATCCCAACAGGTCTCAACAGTAATAGTATAGTAAAGAAGGGTGGCTAGCCAAGGCTGGGAAAATCCACAGTTGACTGTTTGTCACACGATACCTACTTACAGTACAGTGCAAGAGTCTGAATTCCCATAGCTCTGACCTAGTTTGTACTGTAATTCAGTAGCTGTGGCAGTGATGAAATCAAAAGGAGAAGTTTTAGTGCAGTTTTAGTGCAGTACACTGAAATCCTATTATGTGTAATCCATAGTAGTACTGATATTATGAAAGGTAAACCCATAAACCTTATTCGAGTCTCGTGATCTGATTGAGGATTTTTTCTCCCAGGGGGAAACCTAGCTTTCATGAAAAGATTATCCAACATATTGGAGGCCCCATAAGTGGTCATTTGGAGGTCATACACAATCACAGGTATTACCTATGAATATGTGTCACAGACAACCCCAATCTCAAAGCAGAGATACAGTAGGTATTCTCTATAATAGGGGTCCCCAAATGGCAGCCCACCGGCCTCACTCCTGTTGATGATCCCTGCTCTATGAATACTGTACTCTCTTAACCCATCCTCCAGACATTTAGCTAGTCTCTTCATCATCTGTTTTCCATCTCAGAAGCTCCTCTAGATGTACAGTATTTATGCCTTGGGGAAAGGCTGCTAACGCTGAACCTACTGACGATTCTATATGAGGGACACTGCTACAGAAGCTACACTGTCACTGTCTAGGGGCCATATGCTTTCCATGAATCCTAGTTTTTCCTGGACCAGTGTCAGCTAGCAGCTACTATAGACTGATTAAGAATTCCTAGACCTAACATAGGATGTAAGAGAAAGAGGACAGTAAATCATCTGAGGTTCTAACACTGGGCTACTGTTGTCACAGGCACACATTTATAAACCATTACATTTGATGAATGTGGTTGCTATCATTTAATTAACACCAAAAATGCATATGAAATAACTGCTTTTATGTATAGGCCTCGTGCCTTTAACTAGGTCTCAAAGGACATTGTAGGAGATTTACTCACCTTAAATACAAGTACAGTAATTATTTTAAAAAATGTATACAAACATATCAGCAACACACTATTATTTTAGACTGTGGACTGGTAGAGTGGCCATGTAATGCTGACTTACCCTCAGTGTTTCGAGACTGTTCGTTCCGGCCCTGGTAGTTGAAGAGGATCTGGGACTGTCTCCTGGCTGGCTGGTCTCCTTCCTCCCTCATGACAGGAGCTCTGCTGGTCGGGCTGAACTTCACTGCGGGGAACTCCTGGTCGAGTTTACTCTGGGGCTTTCTGGGCTCCTCACGCTGCTCTTCAAGGTGCTCCTCAAGGTGCTTCTCATGGTGCCGGCCCATTGCTTTGGGATGGACGACTGCCATCATGGTGGTGACTGCTTTGGCTGTCTCTGTGTTCGTGGCGGCCAGTGTGTCTTACTCCCTTGTCACTACGGACAGTTTGTGTGACGTCCTTCGAAGTGTCACTCTTCATCACTCTGTCACCGTCTCTGTGATGCCTGCTGTCCCGGTCAACAACGTCCTGTTGACGCCTGTGGCTCTCTAAAGTAACTTCCTGTTTAGTTGTTGTTGTTGATGTTGTTGTCTCCCCCTGGACCTTTAAGGTGGTCTGGTCCATGAGATGTGGATCCTCGGTAATGGTCGCCTCCTCTCTTTTCTCCTGATCATATGTTCCTAGTCTCTTTCTCAGCTCCTGCCTCAGGTCATTAAAGATCTCATAAGTAGGAGAGCTTGTCTCAGCATAGGATGGTGACACCGTGGTAGATTCTGTTGGCTGGACCGGGTCTTGTGGAGTAGTAGATGTGGGGTCAGGCAGTGTGTAGTCATAATCTTCATCTTCATCCAGGACAGGTGGGTCCTCTTTGTAAAGAGGTATGGTGTTACTGGGGGCGAATGGGTCTAGTGGGCTTGTCTGTTTATTGAGGTCTCTCAGAGGGTTGTTGTTCTGTGTGGTCATTGCTAACATCGGCTTCTTAACATTACGAGGGTCACAGTCAGGGATAGGAGAACACATCAGGCTCCCGCCATTGTTAGGACAGTGACACACCTGACACAGGTCCACCTGGAAGGAGTGGCCCGCTTCATACTTCTGGTTGCCTTGGACACAACCGATGCTCTCACACTGTGGACACCCATCTGCGGGTTCCACGACAGCGATGCAGTTGGGAGGGATCTCGGAACACGGGATGAAATGGCACCCGATCCTCCCGCCTCCCTGTGGACAAGAACATTCTGTGCTTCCGAAATCCACAAAGTAAGATTCTCCCTCTGGAACTTTCCCATTCCGGAAGCCTGCATGGATGCAGTCATAGTACTGGTAACCTTCACATGAGCATCCTATTTTAACGCAGGTGGCACAGCAAGCGCCCTTCTCCAAAACTTCCTCAATACAGTTGTCCAACACTGGACAATCCACGCCTGTACAGTCCCTTTGGCTTAGACAGATGCCCAGGCACAACAGGAGCGCACATTGAAACAGCAGCAGTTTCTCTTGGTTCATTTTGTATAAAAGTCCCAGAACCCAAGAACAAATGTTGAAAATTGAATTTGATGATAACTATTGTCCACAGTCTGCAGTCGACCTGGAGTGAGAATGATGTTGAAGGTCCGATTTCCAATGGCCTCCTTTAACCTCTGAGAATGAAAGAGAAATAACATGACATTACTGTTATGTTACTGTAGTGACAGAACCACAAGATCATCACCATGTCGTTTGTCATTGAACTGGGTCCCACTAGTCTCCAGTGTTTCAACTAGCTACCATTACTGTCATTAGGCGTAGACTAAATTGACCATTGGGCTAATGTATGTTTTTCCATGCCCATTCTCTGGTCACAGGACAGCTCGGCATGCATGCTGTGGTTTGCAATTACATTGGCATGGAAATTTAGCTACAGGTAACGCCAGCTAGGGATAGGGGAAAATTTGGACAACTTAGACTGAACAATCTTTGCAGTGATCCATATTCAGCCAATTCTAAACTCTTGTGTGAACCAAGTCAGTGATGTGACTACAAATCAGAGAACATATTGAAAACCAGGTGTTTTCTATTTCACTTTTCCTGTTTTTCTCAACTGTTCATGTGCTTGGTCCAGTCCTAAGACACACTGCGACGTTTCAAGCAAAGAAATCTGTTGTACGATTCTACAAGTTATTTTCAAAATACATTCCTGTTCTAAGTGAAACATTATGTGTATAAAACAAAGATTTGATGTAGTCCTAACATTTTACTCATCTTTAACGCTGAGCTTAACTCAGTTGAGGAATATGAACAGAGTTAGACTCAAAAGACACACACATAGCACAACAGCACAGACTCATTGCCCCCATAGTGCTTAGAAACAGCATACTGGTGCATGGATTCCAGCATATGGTGGAGCAGTTTGGGAGGGAAAAAGTCACCCAGTGTTGACATGGTATATTTTCCTCAATAGACACCCTCCACGCTCATGTGTACATTGGTTGTATGAAGAAGCCTGCACTGACACGTCTTTAAACTCTCAGCAGCAACTCATAACTCTGCATCTACATACAGTCCCTCTGTTTTCTATAGCAACATATTCTAAAATACTATGCCCCTGACATATTATGTCCTGGTTCCATGACTATGTTTAAATATATTTTAATAAGAATGTTGAGTTGACCTAGTTATGGTGTGCTGCTCTGTGTTGAGGCATCCTATTATATAGGTGCAAATTCCCCCTTCAGTGCTGATTATGTAGGGGACCATGCACTGGCTTCCCTTCAGTGAGGATTCTATCACTAACACAACCCCTCAGTGTCAAAGTCAACCAAGCACAGGTTATGGCAGTCACAGCCAAGTGCAGAGGTTTTCAAAATGAAATATTACAATCTCCCCTTCCGAATTCAAAGTTTCTTCAAATTCTAAGCTTTTGAGAGCCATCAGACATCCAATTGGAAGTAAAACATTGGTTCTGGCTACTTCTCTCACATCTGGGGCTATGTCTCTCTCACGTCATCATACCAGACCACAGAATGAGAAGGACTGCAGCACAGACGAATGCACCACTTAGACAATCAATGATGGCTTTGTATGCAGCGGGTAAGGAATCATTTTAACAGGTCTCACAGTCTTGACTGGCATGTGCCCCACTAGTTTGGTGTTTTTAATGATGTTGAATTCAGCACATGGCATGCGAAGACATGGCATGATGTACTGCATCAAAGGCTGAGGCTCAGAGTTCCTATGTCTGCCACAGCTGACAATGAGATTCAAAAAAGAAAGAGAAAGTTGGTCTGGGAAAATCAAACTAATTGTATTAACATCTGTCACTCACAACCACTATCAGAATCTGTATCTTTCTGACCTAGATAAGACAAATGTATTTCAATGAAACAAATTACATAGTTTTTTTTCTATCAGCTAAAACAATGTCCAAAGTTTGTGTACATGGCTTGCTCATGTATCTCTCCTAGTAGCCAGGAGTTTGATCTTTGTCAACCACAGCTCTTGCCAGGACACAGAAATCATTGTTTTCATGTGTTTTAACATGATAATGAACATCAGGAACAGTTCTCAATGGTGATGTTTGGGTGTTAGAGTCTTAGCGTTTTGAAATACTATATTTGCTGAATGGTGTAAAGATTTAAAGATAGCCTACAAGATAATGTCAGTCTATCTGCTAGGCTGTGAAGTATGACTTGAATGTAATTACGTGAGTAGCCTAAGGTGCACAAACTCACATAGAGCCAAATCACTTTTTACAAATATTACTGTTTATGCTTTGTCATTACATAGAAATGGACATAAGCAATATACTTTAGGGCTGAGAATACTCCATAATTTGATATTGGAAACATGACTTAAACACATTTTTTCTCTGTGTTTTAACAATAAACGTTAGGTGTGAAAATGAAACAGGCATCATTTAATAGAGGATAAATAAACTGCCGAAATGTTCTTAGTTATGTGGAGAATTAATCAAAACTATAACCTGCCAAAGTTATATGTGACATCCTGTCATGCCGAGCCATGCACACAACTAATGGGTAGAAATGTTGGAAAGTAAAACCATAATTTTTACATCTTACATGCAGTATCTCATAAGGTTAGCACATAAACACACTCACAAACAAGCGTGCAAAGGCAGTGAGGCAGTGATTGAAAAGTTTTTCTTTACCTTACGTCTCAGTTATGTCAGTGTGCGACCGGTATGTATGCTGCCCAAAATTAGCTGAGCGCGTTCTAAAGAGAAGGGGGATGTGCAAGCGCTCTCCGCAAAAGGAGAGAGGATAGGGGTGGGACCAAAACTTTCTTTGCCCTCCGAAGCCTTTGGCAATTTAGTTAGAGGTCAGGAATAATTTCGCGCCTCTATTTCATTACGCTGCTGATTCACATTTGAACGAATTCCAATCGCTTCAATATGTGCATCTCGCTGCTGTTTTACTTTAGTGAAATAGGCTGCTTGGTGTCACCTTCCAATATTAGCCTTTGCACTTCGGTTTATTTGACGAATGCAGTCATTTTCCCCATTTATATTGTCATTATTGTGACGTTGTGTATTGTCATTCCAGATTATTCACCCAAAAGTAGGTTGTGCTGGTGAATAACTCTTAACTATTATGCCCATGTTATGCCCATCTAATGTACATAACTTGAAAAGGATAAAGAATAGGCTAAAAAGCCTACAAGTCACACACAATAATCAAACTCTCCTGCAAATCTTCTCACTCAATAAAAAAATATCACATGATCCCTGCAACTCTTCAGGTTTTTTTGGCCCAGAGATGAAGATAGCCTATGTCTGTGTGTAACTGTAATTCAATGGAGTTGGTTAGCTGCTCTCCCTCAAATAGACAAACATGGTGTCTGGAGTGGTGATAAGATTTTGTCCAATCTCAGTCTATCTGTGAGTAAGCTCCTGTGATGTGGACTAACCTCTGAAATAACCCCCAAGGAGAGGTCAGCAACCATCAACTCCATCACTGTCTGACACACACGTGCACACACACTCACATATGTCCTGTTGTCCAATCCCTATTATGTTAGGGGTCATGGGTGCCATCAGTGAGAATGGTCCTAGAGACAAAAGCCCACTCAGCGAATGGATAGACTGATCAAATCAAATCAAATGTTAATGGTCGCATACACATATTTAGCAGATGTTATTGCGGGTGTAGCGAAATGCTTGTCTTCCTAGCGCCAACAGTGCAGTAACATCTAACAATACACAGAAATCTAAAAAAAATAAAGAATGGAATTAAGAAGTATGATAATATTAGGACGAGCAATGTCAGAGTCCGGAGTATGTGTATACAGTGCATTCGGAGAGTATTCAGACCCCTTGACTTTTTCCATATTTTGTAACATTACAGCCTTACTCTAAAATTGATTAAAATTGTTTTTTTTCCCCTAATCAATCTACACAAAAAACCCCATAATGACAAAGCAAAAACAGCTTTTTTGAAATTTTTGCAGATGTATAAAATAAAGAATAAAAAAAGAAGACATTTACATAAGTATTCAGACCTTTTACTCAGTACATTGTTGAAGCACCTTTGGCAGCGATTACAGCCTTTTTGTCTTCTTGCGTATGGCACTACAAGCTTGGCACACCTGTATTTGGGGAGTTTCTCCCATTCTTCTCTGCAGATCCTCTCAAGCTCTGTCAGGTTGGAAGGGAAAGTCGCTGCACAGCTATTTTCAGGTCTCTCCAGAGATGTTCTATCGGGTTCAAGTCCGGGCTCTGGCTGGGCCACTCAAAGACATTCAGAGACTTGTCCCGAAGCCACTCTTGCGTTGTCTTGGCTGTGTGCTTAGGGTCATTGTCCTGTTGGAAGGTGAACCTTCACCCCAGTCTGAGGTCCTGAGCGCTCTGGAGCAGGTTTTCATCAAGGATCTCTCTGTACTTTGCTCTGTTAATCTTTCCCTCGATTCTGACTAGTCTCCCAGTCCCTTCTGCTGAAAAACATCCCCACAGCATGATGCTGCCACCATCATGTTTCACCATAGGGATGGTGCCAGGTTTCCTCCAGAAGTGACGCTTGGCATTCAGGCCAAAGAGTTCAATGTTGGTTTCATCAGACCAGAGAATCTTGTTTCACATGATCTGAGAGTCTTTAGGTGCCTTTTGGCAAACTCCAAGCAGGCTGTCATGTGCCTTTTACTGAGGAGTGGCTTCCGTCTGGCCACTCTACCATAAAGGCCTGATTAGTGGAGTGCTGCAGAGATGTTTTTTTTGGTACCCTTCCCCAGATCCTTGCCTCGACACAATCCTGTCTCGGAGCTCTACAGACAATGCCTTCAACCTCATGGCTTGATGTCCAATCAATTGAATTTACCGCAGGTGGACTCCAGTCAAGTTGTAGAAACATCTCAAGGATGATCAATGGAAACAGGATGCACCTGAGCTCAATTTCGAGTCTCATAGCAAAGGGTCTGAAAACTTAAGTAAATAAGGTATTTCTGTTTTTTATATTTAATAAATGTGCAACATTTTCTAAAAACCTGTTTTCGCTTAGTCATTATGGAGTATTTTG